TACTCCTTTGACAGCGAAATGCACAAATCCCAAAATGTTTATAGCCTTGCCTGAGTTTTTGGTTAATATTAAAATAATCAAAGCAGAATACATTGTGCTGACATCTGTCTTTATTATTGGGGACTAACATTTTATCGCTAAATGCAGGACACTTTATTACCACCATTATTTTAGTTGGAACTTACACCTCAAAGATGTCGCCACAATAATTTTGTAATGTACTTTATGAAACTAACGTTAGATGTCGGAGCGATGTTTGTAAAAACCATAGATATATGAAGTTTTAACCTCAAATGCATAATTAATGTTTGTTTATTTTATAGTCAAAAATTAAACTTTGTTATCATTCCTTTCTCGCTTACAGGTTTAAATTAGGGAACTGGCTACTGGGAGTGACAGGAAAGCGTCAGAGTCAACCTTTGCGGAATATGATGCTGTTTGCTCTGGGTCGTGCAATCGAAGACATGTAGTTCTCGATGGATGAGAAACGTTAGCATTGAATTCAGACAACACAAATTGAAAAGGGAAATGCTTTGTAACCAAAACAGGAGGACACCATGGAGAGCTCGCAGAAAACCCATTCTAATGCAATTCCAACTTCTCAAGGTTAAAATCGGAACGATTACATGATTGCAGCAGCTGGCTATGGTGCGAAGCTATTCTTTAAAGAATTGAGCCTAGAGTTTATTTGATAGAACTACGGTTATAGAAACGGTAGTGAAATTGGCAGCGAAATAAGGCAAAAGTGTTACGCAGTTTGCATTCACGAAAAAATGTGTTGTTTGTGCGATCTTCGTGTGAAAATTGTTGTAAAACGGTTCAGTTTAATGTACCTGTTATTGAAATTGTTCTTCCAAGGGCTTTAAATAAACTCCTATGCATAAGAAGTTACGAATTGCAAAAAAATGTTTTCTGTTCATTGAGCATGATGTGTTGCCTACAAACCAGGCTACACAAATATCGAGTGCCCATATTCAAATTAGGGATTTGCTTGAATCTCCCCAATCTGCCGTTTTTATTGAGGGTAAAGAGGGCCTCGACGAAGGAATGGCCCAGGGCCCCGAAAAACTTAAAAACGGCACTGCATTTAAGGAATAATAAGTGCAACGTTGCTATTAATCGCATAAATTCAAATAAAATTTTAAAAGAAGGTGCGTACGTGGCGACATCTCAACTAGACTTCTAAAACTATAATTGATAGAAAGTGTATCGATTGCCATGGAGATGGCGCACTAGTAATTATTGTATTTAATTTATTCAAAAATCGGGCCTTTAAACTACAATTGCTCTACAGATCTTGCAAGACACCGTACATTTTGAACTGCCATTTATTCAGACTTCTCAATCAAAAGTTATAGACTAGAAACCAATTTCGAAAGAAAATTCAAAGGGCTGTAACTTTTGAACTAGTACCCAATCTTGGAACTGTTTGAAATTATGGATTCTACAGGCCACATTCTATAAGAAAATTTTTTTCCGGGTCGATCTGAGACAATTTCTTTTTTCGGGGCAAAAGAAAAGGCAGTGTATAACCTTCCTTTTTTTCCAAAAATCGACTGCACCAAAATTTCTCGAGAAAACACTTTTTCTTATTAATTTTGGTGCGTAGAATCCAAAACAATCCGTACTTTTTCGATCGGACTTCTCAATCAAAAGTTGACTAGAAACCAATTTCGAAAGAAAAATTCAAAGGGCTGTAACTTTTGAACTAGTAGCCCAATCTTGGAACTGTTTGAAATTATGGATTCTACAGGCCACGTTCTATAAGAAAAAATTTTCCGGGTCGATCCGAGACAATTTTTTTTCGGGGCAAAAAATAGGCAGTGTATAACCTTTCTTTGGATGGACGTACGATGGAGGAACATTTGAGCCAATCGTTACGGAACGTTTTGGCATTATTTGTACTTAAACAGAACGTCTTTCGAACGTTTGGTGCTATCTGGGTACCTATACCTATCTATATTAAACAAACAGGGGAGCTAGGGGCTAGGCCAAACCCTTTTAGGGTTAATGCCTCAATTCAGACACACGCACATTCACAACCATCTCATTTTTTAGTAGATAATATTTTATGCTTCCGACAACATTTCAAGACAATTCTACAAAGATTGCAAGAAGATGATTCTACGAACATTTCCAATGTGGATTCCAATTATTATTCTGAAGATTGCATGAAGGTTCTTAAAATTATTCTGAGAGTATCCGGGGAAGATTCTAAGAGGATCGTAAGAAAATTAACAGGTTCACAGGTTAATATAACTTCGAAGATATAGCAGGATATAGAAATTGGAGGGCTAAGGATTTTTTGTTCTGAAACCCACAATGCGAGGTGGGCAAAATGTTTACACCACACGCTCTAATCCTCCCTTTGTCTTAAGAAAAAAAACCGCAAGAAAATTAGAATATTAGTTTTAACTAATTAGTAGTAATCTAAAACTAATTCCAAGGGAGTTACAGTATGAGTTGCGGCTTCAGACACACATATGAATATGGACGGATCCCCACTGTATATTATCTAGGTAATAGGTAGGTATATTTAAAATTATACCATTGAATTATACCTATTGTGTAGTTTTTTTTTTCAACTCTTAAAACAAGCATTGCATATTTAATCACTGAGTATCTTAACATCTAGCCTGTTACTTGACACAGTATCTATATATAATCTAAGGCGCGGTTCCCACTGGAGCGATACGATAAGCGATGCAACAGGCGATTCGATAAGCAACCCGATCCTGATTCGACACCGATCACTCATAATCGTGCAAAGGTAATGGAAGCAACTTATCTGGTACACACTGGAGCGATCGCGATACTACGCCGATAATTATCGGAGTCGCGTCGGGGCGAGAGACATAGCTGCCGGGTCGCTTTGAGCGCATATCGTTCGACACGTCCGATTAATCATGCAGGGTCAGCAAGAAGACGTACAATCCTCTATTTCCTTCGTGAAATTGGTGGAGCAGAAAGCGTGTTTATGGAACTATGCATTGAAAAGTTATAGCAGGACTGATTTGACAGGTGTTACGTGGAAACAAATAGCTGAAAAGCTTAAAGCACCTTACGCGAATATGCGATAAAAGATTGCTCATGTTGCATCGCTTATCGCATCGCTCCAGTGGGAACCGCGCCTAAGGTAACAAACACACAACGTATTTAATCAATACACACAGTTTTCTAGTCTATTAGTAAATAATTATTTACTATTAATAGCAAATTGTGTACAAAGATTCGGTTCAGTAAAATGTGGTCTTTACTTATCTAGTTCTAGTTTCCAATTCCGTATCGTGCGTGGGAGTTTGAACCACTGAAACCAATGTTTACTCATATGTACCTACAGCATATGAGTCCAACTGATCCTGACCTAAAACTTAAACTTGTAAAGTTTGTAGTTGTTAGATTGAACTATTGCCAATACTTAAAAAATCTTCTCCCTTTAGATGAAAAAACCTATATCCTATGTGATATTTTGACTTCATTTATTTTCGTAGGTGAAACTATAAATTTAAAAAAGTCTATTACTGAGTTAGAAAACACTTGATATAAATTGTGCTATAAACATTAATTCTATACTGAGGTACACATACCGTAGTCAATTGGTCCTAATTGTTCCGCAATATCAAGCATGTCCTTGCTTGTCCAAAAATTTGGTATTTTGATGAAAATGTTATCTGTATCACCGGGCAGTATAAATCCAAAATGAAGTAGAAGTGACACAAAGGGCTGATATTTAATAATATTTGTTTGTTCTAATGTCCACGGAACGAGTGGAATTGGTAAATTTAACACTGGAAATAAGAAATTGTTATAGCTCGATATGGAGATCATCAGTTCACATACCTACCTATAATGAAATATGTAATGAAAAAAATACTATAAAGGTGACTTAATGAAAGCCCTTACAAATTTCATCAAACAATTCAAAATTTTCGTTTGATGGACATGAATTTCTATGACAACTTTAGTTGGATTTGGGTGATTGTAAACTGACAAATGACTGAAATGTTTCGAGTTATATAATAAACTTTTCATCTGAAATAACTTCAGAGCTCAAGGACTGACGTTTAGTAATCTCTCATTCCATTAATTTATTATTTTAACTAGCTACTCTATTTTACTTACCGGTATTGTAATATGTAACAGGTTGTAATATCTGACTTTGATACTCCATTGAACGTTCATGGGTTACAATTAATTTGCAAAGACGAGCTTCCAGCACTGATTTTTGTAACCAGAGTAAATATTTTTGTTTGCCATCTTTGATAAAATACCCCTTTAATAGATTTACTTCATTGCTAAAAATTTCATATTCAATGTAATTTGAATGTGCAGCTGATGAAGCAGTTGAGAAGAAACTTTTTGTTGTGTGAGAAATGGAAATATGTTGACTGTATTGTTCACATAGGCCATTTTCCATCTCACTAAAAAAATGTACATTGCAATATATACCTATTTAAAATCAATGAAGTTATTTTTGGTAGGTTGAAGGCATTTTGAACAACAAAACAACTTCATTCTGGATCTACTTAAAACTTAAAAATATATAAACAACTCTGATAAATAAGTCATTGCTGCACTATAACTTTTACCTTCATCATACATTTTCAACATTTAAATTAATTTAATACACCAAAAAATAATAGACAAACACAGTACTTGGTTCCAGAGAAATGGCAGGCTAATCCATATGTAGAACAGTTTTCCGCAGTATTTAATGCCGAGTCATATTTAGAAACGTTCATAAAATTGTGAATCACAAACTCAATTAAATCCGACCAATCCTAAAATGTAAATAGCTAAACTCCCAATATTGATCAGTACCACATCTACTATACATCACACAGCTTGAAATCTGTTTCCCACATTTCCGAAAATGTTCTTAAAATTGCAGGTTGAAACAATGTAGCCATGTTCTCCAAATCACCGGCTGTATGATGCATCATCGTAAATATGCAATCATTGACATGGTTTCTGTTTCCTTGGAAATTTTCCAAAAGTATTCCGTATAGACGCATGCATTCAATTGTTGCAAATCTGTAAGGAATTTATGGAACGTTAGAAGCACCTAATAAATTATTTAAGCACTTACTCCTTTAAATGATCCTTAATTTTAACCTTCACGCCCTCAGTTTTGGACATTTTATCCAAAAGTAACAGGTAATGATGATTCGTGACGATAATATCTTCTAGATAGGCATTACTGTGATGATCAAAGTTATAGTGACGTAATAACAAGAGAAAAAAATTTCGTAGTTCTTCCAACTCTATCATTTGTCTTTGTAAAATTAAAAGTCTCGCATGGTCCGAGTTACTTAAATGCTTAGTTTCGTCATACTTCTGTAACGACTGGATAAATTCTCTTATAGCTGTAACAACCTAAAAAAAACAGTATGTTTTATACAATATATGAAAGTTTGAGAAAGTCACAAACCAAATGCAATCTTCGGAAGCAAGGTTTAACATTATGTGACATTCGACAACTTATTTGAAAGTTTTCAAATAATGAAATGCCCTGAAAAACCAGATATGATACCACATTATATGAAAGAACAGGATTTATGAACTCTAGATCCAGTTCTAATTGGGTTGCAAATTTCAAAAAATATGTAACCAGCCAAAGAAAATGGGAGATGTCCATCGATACATTAACGTTTGTTACAAGATAAGTGTAAAGATCTTGAACCAGAATACTAAAGGCTTTTAAAAGAAGGTCGACAGTAAATTCTTTGAGTACATCTGCAACATCTTCGTCCGTAGGTATATGGTGTAGTACTGCTTTCATATTGATGCTAAAAAGTGGCCAGTGTGTGTAGATCGGCGGTACCATAAAAATACTTACATGTTCGCCTTACTGCGTTTTACCAATTTCTTTCGCTTCAGCTCTTTTTTTTCAAGCAAACTTACATTATGAGATCGCATAAGACCAAGACGTGCAAAGTGATGTATTGGTTTTTCAGGTATTTGATCATCGTCATTGCTTGAGGTTGAAACGGTTTCACCTTTACTGTGCAATTGAGTTACGTCATACTTGGACCCACTTATTTGAATAGGTACATATCTTTTCATATTTTTTAAGACGGGCTGCAAAATAGAAGTGGTATAGTAAGTAATTGTGGTCTAATAAGCACCTATAGATTGGATGTTTGTGATAATTATGGATAACATTATACCTCAAGGCAAACTCCAGAGTCAATGCTGTACTTCCGTGCAGCATTTGCATTTGATGACTTGTGGGAAACGCTTATAGTCTCAACCGCAAAGAGACACGTGTTATTTTTATGTCGTTCAAGTGTCATTTTTAGAGGACCAGTATGTTTACTGCTATTGTCACTAGAATCAGAAGTCGGATCTGAGGTCACTACAGGTGAGGATTCGCCACTTCTCCCGCTTTGTGGCGATGTATTACTTTCATTGTCTTCGGAACTTTCACTAAGAGATGTATCAAACCACAAACATAGTAACTTCTGTAACGTGTCAACGTGTAGATCCTTATACAGTGAAGCTATCAACTGCACCATAGTCGATACCCAATATACCTAAAAAGTCATAAATTCGGTTCTGCTCATATTTAATGGCATTTAATGGCACCTTTTGAGGACAGGTTATTAAATATATGAGCATTTTGTCCATACTTTGAGAAAACAGATTCCAAACGATATAGTTTTGCATGCTCGTTGGAGATGTAGAAGAATAATAAAATGGATTTTCTGGTATATGTAAAACATTTCTCAGCAGCAACAAGCAGTTATGGATACTCTCACATTGTTCATTATTCAAATTTGATGCCTGCTCCGCAATATATTTTATGTGATCAACCACTGCTTTCGTGCTTCGATTATTAGTAAAGGCCGCCTTGCTGGTTATAAGCAGACGATTTAACTCAAAGATCGTATGCCTTCCGACATCAGTTTGCGATTCGTGTTCCAATGAGAGTAGACACTCAACGGGCGCCGTGAGATTAAGTAAAATTTTAACAATTGCGTCAATAATTTTAGTCGCTTCATCAACTGCTATACAGCTCCTAACGTTTATTAAAAGCGGGATAAGGTCTTTGCGAATATTTTCCCCAAAGCCAATCGCTCTTCTGTATGTTCTCAAAGTACGATCTTCTAGTATAAGGTTTTCAAATATCTCCTCCAAATGTGCTATATAACAAGAAAGAATTCGCAATACCATACATGAGTGTGTGAACAACTTACATAAACACCTTTTATCCACTATATAAAGATCACCTTGTTGGGTTCCTAAAAGAGAGAAACTGTTTTTAAATTGTGGTTTCGTGACAATTTCGGCCATCACTATTTTAAAGTAAAGTAGGTACATAGGCACTACTTGCTTAACAGATATTTATACATAAGGATCTAGAAGCACATTTTGGTCACTACATTAAAGTGAATGCATGCACGACTCTATGAAAAGCAAATCTGCCAATAACATGAAGTAGAGAAATACATGGAAAATCTCTTTTCACGTGATCGGCCACGTGATATCGCCAACGTGCCGCGGATTCACGTGCGCCAAAGAAGCGTTTCGCTTTTACACAAATTTCAATTAACGATTTTACAATTTTTGTTCATTTGCATAGTAGGTTACAGTTCAACTGCATTATTTTGTCACAATTCTCTCTCTTGTTTCGAATAAATCTATAATTATATACCCCAAAATGATGTTTCTACTTACGATTTTTTAAAGCACATCGGAGAATGTTAATTACAGCTAAAGTAAGAAACATATACAGCGCCCATTGTACAGAGACTGCTCAGTGGATAACCCAAAAATCTTACTGGTGCTTTTTCTTTGCTAAAATCAACTTAGAAAACCTAAATAAATTTTTTCAGGTTTTTTGATTTGGGTATTTAAAAATTGTACCTACTTATAGACAATCCCCATAAACTACTTACCTACACTAGATCGTCGATTTTCCGGAATGGCAAAAAAACCTAAATAAATACTAAATATCCTATAGTAGGTATACACATTGTGTCAAAGATTAGAATGTCTATTATGATGATCTCGGAAACCAAAGAAGATACGAAGATGATCAAATTAGAGAAAAGATTAGGTATTAAACAGTTATTTATTATCATGCTTTAATGAAAACCAAATAAATTCTGATCGTTTTCAAAGATAACCAGAAAAACCTAAATTTAACGATTTTGTTAAAACAGATACAACAAAATAAAAAGACTTCTTCATTTCCGCTTTTTAAGCTCTGCAAGACTCCGTTGAGAAAACTTCAATACAACGTTTTGTTTACGAGAAATCATCAACTTTATTTTTTTATATGACCCTGTCAAAAATACGCATCTTGTATTACGAATACAAGGCAAACAAAAAAAATACGAAAGTTGGAAACTGTTGATTTTAACAGGATGTACTCGCGCACACCGCCCGAATCTTCCTAGAAGACCTATCGGACATATTTTCCATTTTTTTGGGAAATTTTTCCGATAGGTATTTTCATATGATTCGGGCGTTGTACCCGATTGAAAAACAAAACATTGCTCCTTATTAAATGAAACAGGTGATATTAGAGTTTTACTTCTCCCTTTAGTTTAGTTTTATTTTGCGATGATGTTGACCGTGGTGACCTCATATACTACAACCTAACCAACAAATACACAGTATAAAACCAATTTATTCCACAGATTTCCAAAATGTTTGCTTCTCTTAGTCAGATATCAAAAAATAAGACAGTCAATGACTAATCAAATATCTTTAATTATTACACGTACTCATCTTAAACAAAATTTGGTACATTTATTATACATCCGCCCAGCTTCACAAACCATAATCAATGATTAAAAATAGTCACGTTTGATTATTACGTAAAATGTTATCCATTCTATTTTAAATAATCGTTTGTAAAACTGGGTAATCATCAATTATTTTGAAGCCTATCGCTACAATACTTTTACACCACAACCGTGTTAAAATTAATGCAAGGAAAGATAACGAAATATAGTTCTATACAAAAAAATTATTCACACTTATGCTTAACTGTCGCTATAATCATATTTGTTTGATGTATTAGATATAATGCACTCACAAACACTGAATTCGCTCTAAAAAATAAAGGGTTTGTAAAGATTGCATTACCACCTATCAAGACTTACTGTCCTTCTTTAAAATATTCCTTAAGTGTGTTACTAAATCTTTTGGAGTACTTTACAAATTCCCGTTTTCGTTGCTCAAGTGCTTGTTTTCCAGCGGGACCAGGAATAAAACCATTCACCTCATTCACTGCATCCAACAACTTCTTTATTGCACTTGCTATTTCTCTAAAAAAAAACTCTTATACTCTACTATAGCAAAAAAAAGTGCACTTGGGTTTGAACTTGCGTCATCAACCGTTGTAGGATGAGGAACATGCAACTGAACTGAACAACTGAACAATTGTCTTCATAATATTTGCTTATACTGATAAATATGACTTTCAAATACTTATACATACGGGGTGTCAATTTTAAAACTTGCAGTCGGCCATATTTTCCAAACTAAAGAAGATGTTGAAAATTGAGCAAAACCGTTTCGGGGGTATCGAGGGAGAATCAGAATGACGTTATGAGTGACAACCCCCACCACCCCTCATCAAAAATCCTAAATGGTAACCCCATACTTGTGACACATCGTTGGAGAGCTACTGAAAAATGCTTTCCAGTGGTACCAATAAAGTCAATATGCATTAAGACAATTTAACAAAAATTTAATACCTAATTAACAAAAAAAAAACTAAATGTTGACATTAAGCGATTTATGGCAAATTTGCCAAGAACTTCAACCTGAGCTGCTTTATTAAGCAATCTTGGTTGCTTTGTTTTTATTGACTTACAGTACAGCTGAACGTGTGGAAATAATATTCATTTATGGCTCCGAAAATGGATCATCTTTTAGAACAGCTAGAACGTTTAATGAGAGACATCCCGGGAGAAATGTAAGCCATGCCCTCGGCCATGCCTATGCTCAAGATTTGGTCGCCAAATTCGAAGAAGCGGATCTGTTATCAATAAAAAAAGAAGTCTAAGTAGCCATGGACTATGATAAAAGAAAAACATAGTCCATGGCTACTTAGACTAAAAACTCGTGAAAACAGAATCTTTATAATTAGGTAATTTTTTCACGTACAAGAAGAGGTAGAATAGTCGTTTCACATGATTTAGATGCAGAATTTATATCTCTATAACTTTTATTTGAAGTATTTTTGCGTAAAATAATTAGGAAACGTTTGCGCAAAGAGAAAGTAATTTCCCATGTTAAACGCCTATGTTCCACTTTTCGATTTACACCGTGTACAAGCTTGTGTGTTATGCCATAGGTAAACAGCTCACCTACAATACCATGATCGCCAGGAGCATACAAAGAATGAAAGAAGTAGCATTTTACCTTCGTCTATCTGCATAAAGAACTTGTGTATGTAACATGTTATTGTTCATTCATGCACAAACTTTGTGCATAACCAATCTATTACAAAATCATTCGTACAATGGGATCTCTGTTCATTTGAAACAATTTTAATGAGAACAGTAAACAATCATGGTATTAACAAAAATAGCAACGCGATTCATTGGATGTTTTACTAAATACTCACTTGATGGTTTCCAGAAATGTCTTACGATCGGTAATTTCATCCGGAATTCTACTTAAAATTCTTTTTAATGAGGCAGACTTTTTGTTTAATTCTTGAAAGGCATCTTCGGATCGATTCAGACGATATTCAACTACTAATAAAAAAAATACACAAAAATAATGTAACACTTTTACATACTGAACACACTCACTGTCCGAGTCTGATATAGCTCCTTGAAGCCTCAAAATACCCTCATTCATGTTGACTGTGATTTCTGCTCTTCGCATTATCCCAATAACAAAATCATATGTCAAACCGGGATGGGCAGCTTCCGCTTTTGATAATGCAGACCGAAGTGTTTGCGATGCAGAAACATCTCGCCTTTCTAGCTGCAATGACTCAATGAGCAAGCTTTATGTTTAATAACGCTGAAAGGATTGTTTATAGGTATCTTACTTGGGATAAGATGGGACGTATCAAAATGGGTAACATTAGGGATGTTACTGGAGTTTCATCACCCATTGTCATATTTCCGCAGTTGTGTTTCTTTTCCTTTGTTCAATTAAGCTTACACTTTTATTTTATCTTTGGATAATAGCAAATTATTACAAAAATCTTTTAAGAATACGACAGTTCGTCGATATCACAGAACTACAGCAATTGTACCATCACCATGTTGTCTTTTCACTATTTTAACCTTAGATCATATATCTAAGATTTTAACTACTGTCACAAGTTTGTTATTCTTTTATTACCGTTCAATAATTAACTATTTGTGTAAACATTTTGATACGCGTTCCTTACCCATTCTACTTGAAAAAAGTTAAATGAACAATAAAAATGTTAAATGACCAAGCAGAATAAAAGCTGGCAACCTTGCACTGTTTCATGTTACGAAATGTCAAGTTTTCTAACCTATAAACTTCTTCTTAAAAAAACCCAAGTAAACCAATGTGCTTTATTTTTATGTATGCTTGAAGGTTTTTTATTTATGGTACCTAGGCTTGTACAGCACAAACCATTTTAGTTGTTGGTTGAGTATATGTTACCACAATATTTACGCACGTGATTATCCCCGGCAGGTAATTCGTAGCATTGTTTTAATGAATAAACAAAGCGATTAGGTTTGTTTTTACCCTAGCGCAGTATTTAAACTTTAAACAATGCGTAGACAGTGGAAGGTTTGTTTGTACTTGTAGCCTTTCAGGTTAAAATAGTTCATATGGGCGTTCAAAAAAATTCGATACAACCCGAGGATGCCAGTTCAAGTGACACTGATGTCAGTACGGATTCAAGTGACAGTGTTTCGGATACAGAAGACGATACACATTCGGAGGAAGATGAAATTTTAAAAAGGATTCGAAAAGAGAATGAAAAACAAAACAATCATCCACCCTCAATTGAGGGCACGAGTTTCATTACCGACATATCGTTTCATCCAGATCAGGATATTTTAGCTGTAGGAAATATTGAGGGTGATGTGACTTTATTTAAATATTCTAATGAAGGAAATATCATTTTGGACACGCTAGAATTACATACCGAGGCTTGTCGAGGTATCGATTTTGATCTGAACGGAAAACGCCTCTTTTCCATATCAAAAGATAAGTGCATCATGCTTAGTGATGTTACAGGCGGGAAACTATTTAGGTTTTATGATAATGCGCACGACGTACCACCTTATTGTATTAAGAGTCTGGACGAACATCTATTTGCAACAGGTTGATATAGGAGTCGAGGTATCATTTAAAATTGTTATTTTAGGTGACGATGACGGTGTTGTCAAATTATGGGATTTACGTGTAAATACAGATAAAAGTATATTCATGCTTAAAAAAAATGAGGACTACATTAGCGATATAGTTACTAATGAATCACTTCAGTATTTGTTATGTGCTAGCGGTGATGGTTGTCTCACAACAATTGATTTACGACAAAGGTAGTTAGTTCTCTACTCCATTTTGGTAATTTAGAAGGTTTTATAGGCAATTTTTTATGCAGTCCGAAGAACAAGAGGAAGAATTAACCTGCCTGGGTTTGTTTCGTAGTGAAACAAAAGTTTTGGCTGGCTCTTCTAAGGGAAAATTGTTGTTTTTTAATTGGAACGAATTTGGTTTACATAGCGATATATTTCCCACAACAAAAACTGCAATTACTTGTCTTGTTCCTATCACTGAAAACATCGTCGTTACAGGTCACGAAGACGGACACCTCAGAGCTATTCATTTGTTTCCTCATAAACACTTGGGCGTTGTCGGTCAACATACTTTGTCAATTGAAAATCTCGATATATGTAATAATGGAAAATTTATTGCATCAACCAGTCATAACAATGATATTAAGTTTTGGAATATTAGTTATTTTGAGGAGTTTGAAGAAGTTACACATAAACGGGCCAATAAAGCAAAACGAAAAGAGGAGTTTAACTTGCCATCATCTAAAAGAACAAATACGGCAGATTTTTTTAGCGATTTGAGATAATTATATTTAAAATAAATAGCAAATGTATTCTTACAGTCTATTTCAATAAAAAAATAACTCTGCTTTTCATGTATGAACTGATGACACCTACTTCTAGGTGTATTCAATTTATCCCCTACACCAGGGGTCGGCAGGCGTGCGGTGTTTTAAATTTTACTAAATATATGGCCCGACCTTTATATTCGAATAATGTGAAAATGAACGGCAAAATTGGCGACTTTCATTAGAACGAACTTGTAGTATGAATCATTTCCATCCTCGAACTGCATTCACCCGTATCCTTACCCACCCCCGCCATCAAGAATTATAATAAATGTAAAACGTTTCTTAATCTATCCCTTTTGCAAGTAGTAGTATTTTAATCTTTTTTTGCTGTCGCTGTAACGCAAATTACTACATGAAAAATAACTGTTTTGTACCAATTAGGGCGCTAACACTGTGAATTCGATTCAAATTTTCAAAAAGTTGCCGACCCCTGCCCTACACTACTGGATTTAAAAAAATTACTAAAAATAAATAAAAAGTGAAACTATCTTTGGTCTGAGTCACAGTCTGACTGACTTTATTATTTCCGTTGGAAATGAATATTCATAGATGAGACAGGACAACGTCTGTCAAGTCAACTAGTTTTATAAAATAATTTACCCAATGTAGCATTTCATGTGTCATACAACTGTACTTTATATTTTGAGTGCCATCACCTGTCAAAGTAGTCTTCATATGGACCCAAATATTATTTATATTATTAAAACTGCAAATGAAATAGGCCCCAGGTTTGAACTAGGCTAGGAAGCTATTCCGTCACGAATTTGGCATCTGGTTTTTTAATTGACAAAAAAACAATTTCAAATTGTAATGCAATTTTCCTGCAGTTTTTCCATCACTAAAAGTTTAGCGTGCTTATCGCACACATTCTCCAAGACACCAAAAGATGAACGTTTGGTAAGTATTTAGTGATCAAAAATGAATTGCTGTCAAGTCACCTTAGGAATTTTTGTTAACATGGGAAATCGTACTTAACTTGAACTTCCAAAGGCGACTCGCAGCAACTCATTTTTGATTGCCAGTGTCGATTTTGCCAATTTTTCCACACTGCGCAATAAATATATTTTAGATACAAAAAATGCACAGAGAACGTTGTGTTGACACACAATAGGACAAAACAAAATGGACTTAAATGAAAATTGTTCATTTTATTGAACTACAAGGATAAAAACAAATTACGTAAAATAATTGAACAAATTAAATAACGATAGTTTGGAGACAATATGCATTTGTAATATTTATTACTCTATATGAACATTATAACAATAAAATGAGAGAGCTACCATGCTATATTATAATACGTGAATACATGCCGTATATGTTGACAACAGATCTAAAAGTGGCGATAAAACGACATTGCCTTAAATGCAAGTTTGAATAAATACGTAAACGAGACACAATCAAAACCTTAAAATAAATATTCGTCAGACTTAATACCACTATTTAACGTACACAATTTAAATAAAAAGAAAATATGTTAAATATTTACAATTTCACACCTCTCCACTGTTCCCCATATTCACTCACCATTACTTTATGTAAATATATACAAAGTCCAAACTGCAAAAAATGATATCAAATATTGTCGAAATTATGGTAATGATTTCAGATAATCAAATAAAAATGAAAAAATATATAAAACATAGTAAAAGTGGCGATTTAAAAAAAAGATTAAATGCGAACCATTACCAAATTTTTACGTAATTTAACTACATTTTGTTTAGCTAAAGTACAATTGATTACAATTTGTCCAATCAATTAAAACTACATATGATGATTCTTAAACAAAGTTCATCGTTACTCGCTAAAATGGGAATACAAGCGCAGCAGTAGGTCAGTTCATTGCGAGAATGACTTAAGCAATACTCACTTTAAAATACCTTATACAATAAGCACTAGAAAAGTGTTTTATTGAGGAATCCTCAAGTATCACAGTTCACCAAATTCCACTTTCAGTATAAAAGTTCAACCGTCGTGATTTTTAAGTGCATTCTCGGCTTCTAACTGTTTTGCCGCAGCCTGTTTAGCTGCAGCTACGGCGGCTGATCGGCTAGCGCTCGACCTCAAATTTTTCCTCTCGATAACTGTCTCTGGATCCAATGGAACATCACCGGATCTACGTTTACCTCGTGTTCTTTTTGCATTTTTCTTTGGAGTTGGTTCCACCGTCGACATCGGCTCGGACTGAGTAACAGGTTCAACAGGTGCAATTTCTTGAGTTTCCGGTTCCGGAGAGGTGTGCTGAGGCAAGGGTGGAGGTGGTGTGGGTACCGATTGCTTGTTGTCGTTTTCCGCAGGTAAAGTCGGATTGCTACTTTTAACGACCGTGCTAGGAGGCAATAAAGTTTCAATATCTACTTCTGTTGAAGTGACGCACGCCACTGGTGTAGGATGAGTAGAAGTGGCATCGGATTCCTTAAATCTTTTACACTCGTTTGCGTCTTCCACAATCGTACTGTCAGAAACTTCGGTTGGATTTGGATCGCGTTGTCTTTTGGGAGTGGGAGTGGCACGCTGTTCATCAGGCACCGTTCGCGTCAATACATCCGGATTTCCCTTTGTCAATTTATCAAATGCCTCTTTTATTTCTTGTTCGCGCATTTTTTTCTGCGTCGGAATTTGAGCTTGAGTGGCTTCGAGTAACTTATTAAAGTCGGCAAAGTTCGGAAGATCTTTAATACCCCTAAACTTATCCACACCGCTATAATCCGAAGGCAACATGCCTCGCATGCTATCCGAGGTCTTGTTTTTTTCATCTTTTCGGTCTGCCTTATGTTTTACATTAGACGTGTCCAAAGTACCGGAAACTTTAGAAAGGCTCTCCAGTAGTTGCGTGTCGGGTGGTAATATTAAGTTTTGTAAGTGAGAATCACGATTAGGTCTGGGCGATTTCGATTGCGTCGCAGTCGTGCTGGTGGAGGTGACAGAAGGAGACCGACTCGCCTTTGTAGATTTTGTAGAATTAGGAGAAGCAGCAGGATTGAGATTTCCATTCAACAAGTTACATTGCTGCGCTAAAGTATCATATGCGGACATTCCGGGCTGCAATGCGAATGGATTCAAGCCACCCAACCCGAGAGGGGTGTACAAAAGACTAGGATTTGGGAAAAAGAAAGGAAAAGGAGTCGAAGACGGTAGAGATGTTGCCGGCGAAGAAGATACGGCCGACTTGTTTCCACTATGGACGTCAATAGGTTTCTGTGATTTCCCACTTTTACTTTCCGTCCCGCCACCAGTTGTACTTGCCGTACTTGTTTTAGGTTTTGCAGATTCGGGTGTCACCGGCACGGGATCCATTCCCATTCCCGGCAAACCCAGTCCGGCCAAATTTGCAAATAAATTCATATTACCTAAGTTGCCTAAACCTGCCATTGAGTTTAGCGCGTTCATATTCGGCATCCCGCCCGCAAAAGGCATTAAAAGCGGATTTTTCGGATCAAATAAAGGATTGTTCTTGGGATCAAAAAGTGGGTTCTTGGGATCAAATAATGGATTTTTAGGATCAAAGAGCATATTTTTAGAGTCAAACTGTCCCAAGCCCGATAGACCGGATAATAAACTAGAGTTGAGACCGGACAGACTTGAACCCGCTAAAGACGGAAAAGGTAAACTGGACGCCAACGAAGTGCTCATATTTGCGGAACTAACGCTCGAAGTTGACCCAGTAGGACTAGACAATAGAGGTGGCCTGCCAGGTGTAGATTTCTTTACCGACGAATTGCTGAAGCGTTTTTGCATATCGTGACCTAAATTTCCACGTTCCTTAACCAATTCCGCCCATTTAGGATCAATATCATACATGGGATTTTCCATTAACCACTGTCCTAAGCGTTTTAAAGTCGGAGCCTTCGGTCCTGTCAATTTTTTGTTTGTTACTCTATGAATTACAGACACATTTTCGTTTCCAGTTAATTTCTTCCAATCCAACAAAGACGGATCGACGCGTGGTCTACGCCTTCTAGGTGTTAAATAATCTGCATTTAAAGGCTGCTCCGCTAAAGCGGCATTTTGTTCAGCTAACCACTTATTTACCTTCGCTTCGTGAGAGTATGAGTTCACTTTTGAACTAAAATCGGCTACTTTGTTAATATCCGCAATCATAGCTTCGTAACTCTTTTGCTGCTGTTGCTGCTTTTTCAACAGCAAATTTTGCTGTTCAGCCTGAACTAAGAAGTTAGAAAAACTGTCCTTGCCAGGCATTGGAGATTTTAGGTTTGGAGTGGCACAGCTACGAGGCGGTGGCGCAGGGGAAGGTATCGAAGTAACTGTAATGGTAAAAGGTTTCTGATGATGAGAAGATGTTAATGGCGCAGAGGTAGGGGTAACGGTTACGCTTGGAGCAACTGTAGATTTCTTTGTCGTTTCCGGATACAACATTTGCTCTTTCGCAGCTGACAAACCCAGTACAATTTCGTCTAATTTTCTGCGTTTTTTTTCTTTTCCAACAACAGGTTCCTCGATCGGCTAGAAACATAATTAATAATTGTAATAGCGATTAAAGCAGTGCTAAGAATTGGGTGACCAAAAGCTCAAAGTTTCTAAAGGAGATTTGAACGATTTCTTTCTACACATAAGGCTTGGGATTTAACACAAGAGCTTTAATTCATGTACAAAGGAACACCCATACATTAGTAAAGATGGTATTGCATTGGGGTAAACAATGACCTTGCACTTTATTTTAAGAAAATACATGTTTTGAAGTAGCAGTAATCCGAATCAAACAAAATCTGGATGTTATAGATGACAAATTAAGCATTTATTAGAGATCTTTTATGGTACCAAAAAGACAAGAATCACAACAGATTCATGTGATATGATAAATTATTTATGTTTATGGGATGAGTTGCATATTGACGTCTTTTAAGACGATCTTTGAAAAAGTGCCACTGTAAATAAGAATTTCATCTTCCGAATCTCACATATTATTTATTTATTATCGCTCTTGTTCTAGGCCCTCAACAGGTCTTTGCCCAATTACAGAGTAACCCATATTGCAGTTTTTAGAGTTTATTGTGTGCTTTATTAAAATTGCAATACAGTAATTAATTATATAAAAATCTCTTCTATACATTAAAATTAGTTAGATATTAGTTTCATACTTACACAATTTTTACGTTTCATTAGTTTTGAAAGAGTATCGTCCAGTTTATTTCCGGACATTTTATGTGAAGCATTTGAATGCTTCTTTAAAGAGAAATCTTGCACTTCATTTTGTATGTCGTGACTTGACACTTTTGGGATGTCGAGATTGTTCATTTTAGGCAACCTGAAAAATTAAAGTGGATTACAGATTTCTTGTTAAGGCGTAAACTGAAAAACTAACCCCGAGCTCAAATCGATTGGTGTCAATGTACTGCTTGTACCTGGTATGACAGATGTTTGACCGATAGTTTTAGGAGCATGATATTTCAGCTCGTACGGCATCGTTAGTAATCTACCAGTTTGTTGATGAGCGGGTGGTGGTTGAAGGGACTGCGTGACTGGCGTTGATCTCCTAGAATCTTCTGAATCGTCATTATCCCAAGATGTGTTGGGTTTAGGCAATGGATTTGGTAACATTCCGTGGCTGCTATTCAGTAAAGCGTGTAATTTTGCCCGCTCCGTTTCCACATCAATCGCAATGTGGCGCTTACGTTTCTTGTGAAGACTATTTCGATGCAAATTGTCAGTGGTTATGGTAATGATTTCAGAATCTCCTAACGATAAAGGAGTAGAAGTTTCACGCTTAGGGGGATCGTTTGGAATTTCGTGAATTGGAATATCAAATTCGCCACCAATTCCGTTGGCATACGCAGAAAAGCTTTTTGAAGCCGGCCATTCTTTCGTTTCGATAGCATAAACTATATGCTGCAACCGAACTTGTATAGCATATTCCCTAGGCCATTTTACAGCATTATTAAATAACTGCGCAACTGTTGTCTCACTAAAATCGAGAGCACCCGTCCCTTGTTTATCCCTCAATACAAAGGTGTCAACTTGTGACAAACGAGACAGAGGTTGAATAACCTCTAAATCAGGGAACATCGCTTTAAGTTCGGCTGCTTGTTTTGCACAAATATCGGTTTCATCTTCCAATTCTTTTTTATTAGGTTTATCTGTCACATTGTCTGTATCTTTTTTTTTTGTCTCATCCGCCTGTTCTTCTTTCTCATTTATCTCATTCGCTTCACTTTCTTGCACTTTTGAAGGCTGGAGTTCTGATATCTCAACAGAAGCGGAAGGTTGATCGCTGGCGCCTTCAGTTTCAGTTTTTGTAGTCTCTTGTTTTTCCACTACTTCACTTTCTTCCTTACTTTCACTTTTAACTAAAGTCAATTCAATTTTTGTACTATCTTCCTTTTTCTTTTCCTTATCTTTATCATCGAGATTCTCCTTTTTTATGTTGACCTTTTCTATCTTAAGAGTACCTTCTCCCTTTTCTAACTTCACCAAAATTTCATTTTTATCAAATTTTAAAATATCCTCATGACTTTCCAGTTTTATTGCATCTTTACTGTCGAGTGACTCTGATGTCGTACAACTAACTTTTTTTCGTAAGATCTCTTGAAATGATAATTCGGGATCGTTCAATATGTAATAGTCTGTACGACCCAAACCATGCCTAAAACATAATATCTCATTTAAAAGTAAAATATTTATTTACAGGTATGCACTGTGTCTAAGATGGACGTTTATCATGGGGATCTTCAAAGCCATAGAAGATACGACAATGATGAAATTAGGGAAAAGATGCACAATTAAATTGTTATTATCATGCTTTAAAGAAAATCAAAAAATTCTGATTACTTCCAAAGATATAACAGAGAAACCCAAATTGGCCGATTTCTTTGTTATTTGAACAGACACAAAAAAATCAAAAACACTTTCCCATTGCCACTCTACAAGATAGCAGAGGGAGGTTTTCAGAACAAACAACGTCCGTTTCGGGGAAACAATCATCAACTTTATTTTTCTATATGGCCCGTAAAAAAAGTACATACAGTATTGAGTAGCATTTTTTATTACAAATACAACGATGTAGGGCACACAAAAAAAACAAAGGTTGGAAACTGTCGGTTTCAACAGGATGGTACACTCACGCACAATGCCTTGATCGTGAGACAATACCTAGCGGATATATTTTCCATTTTTCAGGAAATTTGTCCGATAGGTATTGTCGCACGATCACTGTGTTGTGTGCGGATGCACCGACCTGTTGAAACCAACTGTTGTTTTTTTTAATGTCCTAAATCTTTGTACTCGTAATTGTAAATGCTACTCAATACAGTATGTACTTTTTTTTACGGGCCATATAAAAAATAAAGTTGATGATGACTTCTCCGAAACGAAACGTTGTACTGAAAATCTCTCAACACTATCTTGTAGATCTGAAAAAGAGGCAATGAGAAAGTGTTTTTTATCTATTTGTATCTGTTCAAATACGATCAGGGAAAAATGAAAACGAAATCGGCAAATTTTGGTTTTTCTGGCATATCTTCACAAGCATTCTTTTCTTTGAAGTATGATAATAACTCTCTAATTCCGTATCTTTTCTCTAATTTGACCATCGTTGTATGCTCTATGGCTTCGGAGATCCCCACATCCTTATCTTGGACACAGTGTATATGTATATCATGATACAGTACGTCCTTGACAAAATTGATGTCAAGAAATGTAATCATACCCCCAAGACTTCGCTTTTGTGGTCAAGAAATGTAGAAAAAATAACCTTTTGACTTATAAAACGGTAATAACGCAATACAGTTCAACTGAAATCTTATGAATAAACCTACCCTTTCTAAACCGCTAATCTTGATAAGTTGATTGAATCTCTATGAAAAAAAAACCAAAATGGCGTTTTTCTACAAAGAAATTGTTTTTTCATAGAATCCGACCAAGTCACTAAAATGTTACCACTCGAAATGGTAGGTACACTCAATACATTTACTAAAAAACACAATGTTTGCCTTTTTTTTACAAAGATTGTTCCTGCTTTATAGCCAAAAACTTCTGTGCACAAAGGCAAAGTTTTGGGGGTGCAACACCTATTATATTTTTGAAACATGTTGACAAGACAACCACTGTAATAAACATAAAACTTTATGTACTATGTTTACTTACTTTGCAACACCTAACAGAAGATCCTTATCGTGCTTCCCCGGAAGCCACCATTCAGGCATATCTGCAGATGTGGCACACACTTTCAGTCGATCGTCCAACTTGGGATGCGTAACAATTTCTTCACGTATTCTCGATAACAATTCCAATCTTTCCAATGTCCGTCTTGCCTTTTCTTCACTAATATGTTCTATAGTAGTATCATAGCTATCGTCGTCTAATTTAACACCTGTTTGTCTTTTACACATGACCACAAAATTCTTATAATAGTCGGTAATTTCGTCGTCCGATTTTTTATCTAGCTTTGCTAACTGCTTAAACTTGATCCAATCATAGGCTTTCTTTTTCCGAAAATAATTAACACCGTATGAAGAAACGACACGAAAGAAATCCGCCTCCTCTCGTCGAGTCCACTTCCTGGCGATACTATGCCTTTCTTTTTCTCTTACGGCTTGCTCCAAATGTTTTCCTTGTCGTTCCATCTTCTAGAAATGTTAGATTCAATATTCTCACTTGAGAAGTTTGTTTATTGTAAACCAATCACAAGTCAGTACATTTGAAAAGATAGCACACAACGTATTTGTAATGTATTTTAACGCTATCGTAGCGAATACAATAAAATACATTTTAGGTGCCAATGCTAAGACCATTATAACGGTAGAAAAATAGACCGGACCTTCTGTGTAGTGTCTTCATTCTGACATTTTTTTCATCCATTTTATATTTTTGATACTTAACAGCGTGATTTCAAGCAATAATAGTGGTTTGAAGGTCGAGCACATTCAAACATAACAAATCAAAGAAAATGATCCACGTTAACATAAAAAAAGAGAAGATTAGTTGACGTCATGTCTACAGGTAGAGTGAAACAATTTAAAAAACATGCAGTATTCTTCTACGGTTACACTGGTCAGTCGTATAACACAGAATACATGTCGTACTATGTACCAATAAACAATGTAATTTAAGTAAACTAAGAAAATTCCCAACGCATGTCTTTACATTAAACGAAGCAAAATGCAATCCAATCCACAACAAAACAAACTTGATGTGCATTATTTGTATAATTTTTATTCATTGATTGTCAACTTTTGCTGTTACTGCAAAGTGCAAATATCAACCAAACTAGTATGCATTCCTTTTCTTAATTGTAATTATTTTACATTGAACGACACACGTCTAGAATTTTATAGTTAACAAAAACTATGCTATACATAAATGAACATTAGACAAAAATAGCTATCCAACTTGGGTACAAACAAATGAAAAAGGATTTGAACGTTTGAATATAACTGATCAGATACAAACATATAATCAACTAACAAAATAAAATAAAAATAAAACAAATTTACTAACCAAGAGATAGAGGGCTAGCTGTTGTAGGTCCCATCCAGGCATGGCAAGAGAGGCGGCATCACGCGCATCTAGCTGTTGCGACACCTGCGCCAATGCAGCCAAGGGGGAGGACAGGGCACTCTCTACACTCGCAGGCTGCACAGTGCATAACTACATACTACAAGAACATCTAGCACGCTCATGCGTGTGCAGATGATTATGATATATAAGATTTAGAAAAAAAAACGCAGTTTTATCCTTACGTTTTTTCATTATAATGATTTAATGATATGAAATATACGTTAATAACATTATATAAAAAATTTAAGCACAAAGCAGCCATCAAGCACAGTTCATACATTGAAGAATGTACCAACTAACATATAAACTGAAAGTTTATAAACATAAAGATGAAAGCTTAGTGCTAAAAACCATTAAACTTATTTGATAATATAAAATGGTTATTAACAGACATTGTTTGCGTACCTTTATTTTTGCTAATTTTTGTTGTTCCTCCTTACGATAACTTCTTTGATACGAAGTTATAACACGCCTCAGTCGAGTATTGAGATCGGTTGCCGATGGCCACATTTGTTTATCGTCCAAATCATCGTACAGCCGATCATCCGGATCTCCCGACGGTTGAGTTTCAGACGAACCCGACGGTCCCGGAGAAGGTTCCGCAATTTCAGAATTAAGCTCAGAGAGATCGCGAAATCTCGATTTTAAACTGAATTCTTCGTTCGTATCTTCATCGTCCAGATCATCGTCATTACTGTTATGGCACAAATTATTTTTTTATTAGAAAAACATACATTGAACAAATGGTAATTATATGCCACTGTTGTTTTTTTTTAGTTTGGCCGACAAATACGTAGAGATTCCGAATAAAATTATTTTGACAACAGCATACATTCTAATAATTTGGCTGTAAAATAATTAGTTAAGTTAGGTCTCTCACTTACAAGATAAGTATTTATTTGTGACGCGTTTTATTTAATGTAAGTATTAGCCAGGTAAGTGAGTTTTTACTGGCGATAGGAGAAGTTGACTGGCGAGCCGTCAGGCGAGCCTGTCATCTCCTAGAGCTAGTAAAAACCATTACCTGGCGTATAATGTACAATATTTTATTTGTTACTCATTTGTAAACGTAAATAATTAGTTCTTAAATTGATCTCGAAGAAATGTCTAAAATATCATGTTATCCATGTAACAGAGACTTCGCATTAATTCTGCCCAATGAAATTACTAGATTACTAACTTGTAAAATTTTTACAGGTCAGCTGTCAGTTTTACAAGTCAATACCGTTCGTTTAAATTACGTTCACTTGTTTGCTGTTGTTTACTATCGAGGAACAAATAAAATCAGTTTACGTTACTCGTTTTGAATACCTGCCTCAGCTACTCTATACTGTACTTTATTATACGTGGAAAACACAAACTTTTATTTTGCGTTACAATAATTTTCGAAATTCTCTTAATTTTTACCAAGGTATAACAGTAAGAAGTTAAACTTAAAATAAACGTTACTTGTGTTTTCCGCGATTTAGGGGCTGCATATAATATATACTTGAGTATACATTTAGGAGCAAGTTGGGCGTCTCTTATGGAATAAATAGATTACATAATGTTAGAGTTGTCACTCTGTATTCGGTCTGTGAGATTACTACTAATATTTCTAAAAATTAATAAGCGAAGCATTAAGAAGCTAGAACCATAATTCCGTTACACCATATATAAATTATGAAAATTTGTGTGCAGCCGATTAAAAACAGTAGTTAAAAAATAATTGTATTCGGATCAATTTCGTAACCACCACATTAATGTAATAAAGAAACCGCATGCAAAGGTTTACTTAAGTCGCATATATATTAGCCAAGCTGTGGCTACGTAAAAACATAAATAATACAGTCTTAATTGGACAAAACAATACCTGTAGTATAATCTGCAGTTAGTAAAAATAGTTAAACCGACGATGGACATGACTGCAATGATTGCTGAGGGAAAAACTATGACTACTTACAGTGCAGGTGTGGGGGGTTGCGTGTTAGAAGCCAGCTGGAGCTCTCGAGCAGAGGGCGGGCCACAGCGGGACAGGAAACATAGGGTGGGGTCTGCACGCATCTCCGTATAATTTTCATAGCCGTGCTTCCAAGTGCCCACTAGCAGAGACTTGTCGCATTCTGAATCCCACCACTCACAAGGCAATTGTTCCGTTATCGGAGGATTTACCGGCAGGGCACTGTGAATAATGTTGCCAATTGTCAATTTTGATTTAAGTTACTTTTTGAGACTCAAGTTGTATTTACACTGTCCACTTCTGATGAAAGAGAAGATCTTTTTTTTTTTATTTTTTTTTAAAATTCCAAACTGTATCCGGTTAGACAGTAGTTTTCAGTAAATGAGCATTTTGACGAAGATCTAAAAAGAAATTTGGTACCAAGTGCCGTACCGCTGATTTTCAATTTAAAGGGGGTAAGGAACCAATTTGTAAATTAATATTATGTTAATAATAAACGATAAATTAATAAATAGGGTTAAAAATAAGCGACGTAAGCTTTATGTTTGCCAAGATATGAATTTTATTAATCACTCGCACACACATATCGTTTAAAATGAAAACTTAGATAAATATAACGTGAACATGAAAGTGGAATGAGTCTCGCAAAGCATCTAGCATAGCCACAAGCACGGGCATGCATACAAAGTTAATAAAATGGAAAGCCAAGACTATTTCCCAATAATGTGTCCGGTCAGTATCCTAAGTGATATTATATGGTTAATGGCCAAACTAAATACTGATCAAACATCAATATTGCACCAAAGAACACTTAAGAGTACGAAATGATAAAAAAATTATACGTATACAGTACCTAGCATGTACTCCGTCCGCTATATGTTGAACCAAATCGCCGATTATTTCGTGTTTTATGTAATATAACATGCGAACACGTAGAAGTACCCTGAAACATACCACAACTACTGTAAAACCCTGTATTGTTAATTCGCATTTCTAAAATATACATATATGTCACCAGATCAGTGTGTGAGAAGTGTTTATTTCATAAAATACCTAAAGTATTTTCTAAATTAGCATGAAGTTCATCATCAAGTTATGGCGTAAAGTTTGTAGACAAAAAACCACGGATAAATCTTACTTGTTGGCATGTCGACCCAGATGTTTCTTGTAGTTGCTTTCTAAGAAGATGTCGCCATCATATTTCTCATTTTTACTCCAGTGATTGGGATCTGTAAGAGCAGCGTGCCGAGAATCTCTGCTTTTCTTCTTATTTTTATTTCGGATACCTCTAGGTACTGGATCCTTTAACCCGTGATGATTCCTAGTGATTTTCATTCCTTCCCCGTACTCACACGGAGTGATTAAATCCCAGATAAAGCTCCGAATTTTTTCATCCCCTCGATAAAAGCGGAGACAATAAAGTAACTGCAATAAAATGTGTAAAGTACGAAAGTTATCGGCGATAAACTTACAATAACTCTGGCGCAATCCTCAATATCGGACTCCTTCCACCCTTTTCTTAACTGAGAATGGTCCAATATTTCTCGCCATCTTCCCCATCCGAAAGTGAGAAGCCCTCTCTCGACCATAAAGCATTCGCGACGAGCCCAACTGCCATATACAATATCACCCCTCTCCCCTTCTCTGGGCATATAATCATCGCTTCTCAACTTCTTTTTTAATTTTTTGCTACGTCGACTACGCATACCCAATGTTAGACCTTCGTTTTCGCCGTCCGAATCGGTAGAACTTTCCAACTCTGACATATCGATCGCGCTTTCATCATGCCCGTACCGCTTAATTTGGGTGCGTCTTCGTGGCTCCGACAATACCAAATCTTCAGTTTCGTCTTTTTCGGTCGTATCAATGTCGGCTCTCTTCGCCCATTTATTCCAAAAATCTGGATCGTCGATATTGATATCCGATCTATTTGCACTGGAAGCAAAACTGGCCTTAGAAAATGTAGAACCTTTCTCCGACTCCATCGTTATAACTTGAGTTCTTCGCGCCAATATCATGTCGATGTCCTCCTCGCAAAATTTATCACCGTCCTCCTCATCGAGCAACGCCCCGTACGCTCCCTTTTTCAATAGATCTTCGATTTCTTTTTTGGAAAGTTGACGGTTTCCCGATTCCTTACCGCCTTGAGACGTGTTCATACTTTGCAGCACCGCCTTATCTAAACCCAACTTTAAAGAAGCCTTATCGAACATCTCCCTTTCGTAAGTATTGCGACACAATAATCGATAAATTTTAACCATTTTTTGCTGACCGATTCTATGGCATCGTGCTTGTGCTTGCAAATCGTTCTGCGGATTCCAGTCACTATCGTATATGATGACCGTATCGGCCGCCGTTAAATTTATACCTAGCCCTCCGGCTTTCGTGCACAATAAAAATATAAACCTATCCGAATCAGGTCTGGAGAATCGATCGATGGCCGCCTGACGTAAATTTCCACGAATTCTTCCATCTATTCTCTCGAAGGGATACTTTCTATACATGAGATAATCTTCCAGTATGTCCAGACAACGTACCATTTGGCTAAATATTAATACTCGATGACCGTTTGCGCGTAATTTGGGTAATAGTTTGTCTATAAGTACCATTTTACCGCTAGAATTGATCAACGCTTTATAATACGCATCGACATCCTCTCCGTGCTGCATTTTAAAATCGTACTGAATTTGATCTTCCGCTCCATTTAAAAGGTAGGGATGTATGCAACACTTTCTAAGCTCCATCATCGTATTCATTAAATTCGGAATATTCGCTTGAGTTGTACCTTTTTGTAAAAATGAGAAATTCCTTTCTAAAATACCGCGATAATATTTTTTTTGAATATTGGTCAACTCCACTTCCACCACCGTTTCTTCTTTTGGCGCCAACGACTTTTCTACGTCTTCTTTCAATCTACGAAGCATCATCGGTTTCAAAATGCATTGCAATTTTTGTACCTCTTGTTCCGATTTCAGAGCACCAAATTCTTGCAAGAATTGCTCAGAATTAGCAAACTGCGTCGGTTCTAAGAAGTTTAGCAAAGAAAATAACTCGTTAACGTTGTTCTGCAAAGGCGTTCCGGATAGAAGAACACGATGCTCCAAATTTAATTGTCGTAAACCCTCTAATAATTTGCAGTTTCTATTCTTTAGACGATGCGCCTCGTCGATGATACAAACACGCCAATTAAATCCTTTCAAATCGGCAAAGTCGGTAACGATGATCTCAAAAGTGGTGATCAAAATATTAAATTTTGTTATTTCTTTAATGGGCTGTCCCTTTTCGTTTTTATAGAAATATTCGTATTCCTGCAACATATTTCTACTGGCAGACGATCCGTGATAAACAATTACGTTTAACTCGGTCCACGCTTCGATTTCGCGCTGCCAGTTAGGTATGGTCGAGAGTGGGGCGATGATCAAAAATGGGCCTCGAATGCCAAACTCGTGGACGGCATGAATAAAAGTCAAACTCTGAATTGTTTTACCCAAGCCCATCTCATCCGCCAGAATACAATTTCTGCCGTTATGCCACGAAAACAACAACCAATTAAGACCTTCGAGCTGATATTCGCGTAAAATGTTTCCACCTTTATAGATAGGCGACTGTTCCAATTTTAACCACAAATCGGGATGTTGGCGTCTCTTCGGTTTCCACCTATCCTTAGGCGGAATCGCTCTAAACAATAAAAATTGTTGTATTTTTAAAGGATCGACGTCTTCCTCCAATTCCCACGTACTATCCTCGTATTGAAGCGACCTCCATTTAACCAAATAATGTTTAATCGTCTCCTGCGTATTTGGATCGGTATGTTCGGCCACATCTAGAACTCGATCCACTTCGAGATAATCGGGATTAAAGGGCTCGTCGTCTAAATACTCGAAAATATTCAATTGTTGCTGTTGTTTTTGTTTAAAACGTTTGATCTTATTCGCGATTCTTTTATCCCCTTTGTATAACTCCTCCTCGGTTCGCCACTCGCAATGCAAATACGAAAAATTTCTGTACTTGACGTAATATTCTTCCACATCTACGACCATCATTTCAAATTTCTTTTCGGGTGCACCTTCGCTTTTGGCTTCTTCGGTGAGTTCAGCAGGAGTTTCCGTAACGTCAATTTTATCTTCAGTCTCTTCCGCTGTTTGACTAGGTTCGGTGTGCTTTTCGGCTTCATCGTCTGCGGTTGGTTTTGGTGCAGGATCGTCTTTATTGACCTCCATAAGTTTCTCGCGTTTACTCATTCTCGACGATAAAACATATTGCACCACCATTGCGTCATCCTCGGTGGTATTTACGTAGACGAAATTTGGCTTATTTCCGGCGGCATCGTTTACAAGAGTCGGCTCTTCTAAAATTTCCATAATACTAGGCTGCGAGGGAGCAATAACTGGTGGGGCGGGAGCGACCGTCTTTTTGGTTTTGGATGGGGCGGCGGGGGAATCGTCGTCTGAAAATCGCAACATTACGTCGTCTACGTATTTCTTCCTTTGGGTATTCCTGGCGGATCGTCTTTTTTGAGTCGTATTGTCTGCATCTTCGGGAGGTGATGGAGGCGGTGTGGAAATTAAATCTTCGCCTTCGCCGTCAGATTCGGCCAACACACTTTTACGTTTTTTGCCTTTACTTATCCCAACCGTTCTAGAAGTCCGTGCTTTTGTGGACACAACTTTTTTAGGTATCGGCGGCGGTTTGACACGTTTAGGAGTCTTTCGAATCATTTTCTCTATTTCTTCGTTGGAGTTGGACTGATCTTCGAATGTGTATTCGTCTTTTTTAGTTTCAGGTTCGCTCAATACCTCCGCAATTCCGTCGGCAGTAGTTTGAGAATCGGCTTGAACTTGTTCCGGTTCCCTCGTCGATTCGGGCAATATTTCTCCCGGTTCGGACATGCTAAAATCTTCCATTAACAAGGACTGCGATGTCTGCGATATGTCGCCGAGGTGTTCTTCTCCACTTTCGGTCGATTTATTAAACAAATCATCCGTAATAATGTCATCTCCGTCAAACTTCTTTTTTCTGACATATTTACGTTTGACTCGCTGTTCCTTAGGCTCCTTTGGTTCGCGTTTTTTTCTTTCTTTCGGAATTTTTGGTTCCTTTGGTAATTTAGGTTCTTTCGGTTTCTTTGGTTCTCTGGGCTTTCTCGAGCCCCTACCCTTCTTCTGTTTATCCAAATCCATCTCTCCGGACATGGGGTCCATTCCAATTTCGGTTAGCTCACCAGAATGAATGTTCAATCCGGCACCCGGCGTGACGCAATCTTCAGACACTGGCAAAGGTTGTTGGGGCATCATCATTCCCATCGGGGACGCCATACCTGACTGAGGTATTTGCATGATCGCGTCCTTTTCGTTCTTCTTCTGACGAGGTTTCTTTGCTCTCGGGCCGCCCTTTCCGCGTCCTCGCCCGGTCGTACTAGAAACCTGAGGGCTATCGATCATCGGTGACGTAAATAAAGGACTTTGTAGAACACACTGTGGACCCCCGTTGCACTGATCGTTGGCTTCATGTTGGGCGAGTATATTCAACCTCTCTTGTAAATGAGAAATTTTGTCCTGATTTTCTGGAGCGGGCGGCATACAATAAAGTTCTTGTAATTGTTGTTGCAAAGCTGCACGTTCTTGATGATGGCTAATCGGTGGCTGATAACCGATGTCTTGATTTGCTAACATGGGAGGAATTCCGGGTACCATGACGGGAGGCGCGCCTAGTCCCATAGGCATTCCCTGCATATTCATGGGCATGCTGTGCGTCATCGACCTTGGTGGTGGGCCTATCGACAAACCTGCATTTCCCATTATCGAATTCGGATTTTGTTCAAATATGCCCTGCGCTTGAGAATGAGGAGTTAAACTGGTCAAGTTTGGGTGAGGAGGTGGCAAATTTTGAGTATGTTGAGTAGGCGGTGGAGGTGGCTGCGATTGTACCAACGTCTGATTTTGAATTGGCGGTAAATTGCTCTGATTATTCTGATTGCTCGTAATAGTCGGCGGGGGTTGCTGTGTCTGATGTACCGACGAAATCTGTGGCATATTAGGTAACATTTGGTTTGCAGGCGGAGGAACAGGATTTAAAATTTGCAGTTGTGGTTGATTTGTTTGCATCAAACTTTGGGGAGGTACTTGAGATAGTGGTGTTAGCGACGCTGGCTGAGATGTTGTCGTCGGAGTTGGAGTAATGTCTCGTGATAGAGATGTTAGCGACGGCTCTTGATTGTAAAGTGGCATATTGGACGGCATTAAATCATCCATGTTAATTTTTGTAGGTTGCAATGGAGTTTTGTTATAGCTGGTCATACTAGATACGCTCGTAAAATCGGTAAAATTCGTTGCGTTGCTTTGACTCTGTGTAGGTTGTTGTGTTGCGGTACTGCTATTACTACTATCTTCTATCGATTTAAGTGACTCGACATTGGCTGGAAGACTCGATTCTTGATTACTGGCTGCATTATCGTCGGTTGTTGACGACGGTGTAGGAGTCGGAGGATGAGAGATGGGTACATCGTGAATACTGCTGGGAGTTGAGACTTCTGCATTATTTGTAGTGCTACTAGGTTTATCGACCATCGTCGTAGAAATTGGTGATCGTACAGAACTGTAGTCGCTTTGAGTAATTACTGGAGGCAAATTTAATGTCCCCGTAGTGGATGTAGTTTCGTGAGGCATCGGAGCGCTCACTTCGGGAATAGAGACGGGTTTATTTACTTCACCGCGTAATTCTTCTGATGTAAAATTCTGTTCTAAGCTTTGGCTACTTTGTAGGCTTTGGAGCGGCACATTTGACGATGGCGGTAACGATTGTTGGGAGGGAGGAGGTATTCCCTGATTCTGATCCAGTAAGGTTAGACTTCCGTTGATATTTGAGATGTGTAGGGGCCGTGCTTGCTGAGATGGAGGTTGTTGTTGTTGTGGGGGAGGCCACTGTTGCTCTGTTATAGGATTTCTAAGCCCAACTGAAGGTGACAGAGGATTTTGCGTCGACTGTGGAGGTCCCAACGTATTCCTGGGCTGATACGTAGGGTATTCTGTATTATTTGTGCTGACAGATGGCATTACCATTTGCTCCAGTGCTTGTAAGGTACTTTGCTGAGAGTATGTGGACATGGGTGCTGGCGAAGCCGTAGTCGATTTTGGCGTTAAACTTGTGGGCGGCCTTGGACTTAGAGTTGTCTGTTGCATCTGAGGATGAGGCGATACATTTGGCTTTGCAGGTGACATCACTGGCCTGGGCGACATTTGTGGCGCAGGCGGCCGTGGTGACATTTGAGGTCTAGGAGATGACAATTGTGGTGACAATTGTGGAAACGGGGCTCGGTATTGAGGACTTCCGCTACCTAAGACTCCTCCTGGGCCCGTCGGATGCTTTGAAGGATACTGCTGAGGTGTAGCGCTGACCTCCATCGGCCTTTGAATACTTTGCATAGGTTGGTGAGACGTCTGACTATAACTCAAAGAGTTGGGGTGTGTTAGATGATTTTGTGCGGGAGGTTGCTGAGGTGGAGGGGCGTGTCCTTGATTGGTGGGATGTGTCTGAGGCATATGTCCGGGCGAAGGGCCAGTATGGGGAGACGAATGAGTGCTTAATGCTTGGTTATGGCCCATATGATTATACTGTTGTGCTTGCGACACCCCCATTTCAATTTGATGATGTGTTTGAGGGTACTGGTGATGATGCGGCATTCTTTGATGCATATAACCTGTGTACGCTGCCTGTCCCGCTGTTGTGGGATAGGCTGTATTTTGGGGATAATGAGGTGTATGTCTCTGTTGCATGGGGTATGTAGTTTGGTGAGGTTGTTGCATAATGGGATGCTGCGTTGGAGGAAACTGATGTTTTTGTTCCTGTTGATGACCGTAAGCCATTGGTTGTTGCCTATAGCTACCCATTTGACTGTATCGATGAATTGGGTAACTGGAGTGTTGACCCCAACCTTGCATCGTGGCAGCATCTCCCATACTTAACTGGTGATCTGGGATCGAGTACATATTATCGGGTTGATACGGATACTGCCCTGATGCCGTCGCCTGAGGTGCCGGAGGCCTCACCATTTGTCTTTGATGGGTGTATGGGCCTCCGGGCGGTCCCATCGGCCGTTCGGTACCATAGCCTTGAGTGTACATGTTTTGAGTGTTGGGATCCATGTGGGTGAAATCCGTTCCGCCGAATGAAGCCAATTTTTGTAGAGGATTCTCTTGAGTGTACGTTGGCTGAGCGTAAGCTGGAGCAGCATCACGTGCGCCCGTCACCGCAGGGTCGAAATGGTCTCCACCCAGATCGGGTAAACCTTCCAACATTCCAGCTCCATCTTCCCCGAACAAGTCGTAAGAGTCCATCGCTTTAGGCGGCACATAGCGCCTCCCTACTGTTCATCTCTCACCATACCATCGCTATAAAAATAACGATGCAGATTTTACTATATAGTTACGCCACCACGCGACAGCAAGCAAATAAAATTTAAAAATTGATAGCCTCACAATGCGGAGGTAACGACGTAGGCGTCACAGCTGAAGGGGAAAAGCTATACGCTTATGATTTTAAAAACATGAGCGTTACAACTTTCCACCCCGAGACGTGACGATTTATTCTCAGCAGATGCCATCGTTAGGTACCTACGAACAGTAAGCGACAGTTGTCTATGCACTAAAAATTATTTCGATCGACGCCCATTAAGCGATCACAAACTTTTCTGATAAGAATCTGTTGTTTTTTGAATTACAAGCTACAATTTTATTAAGATTTGCGAATGAATCCCACAAAATAAACAAATAATTATTCTTCAAAAACAAGTTACATGTCGGGAGTGATAGTCTTATCACTATACCTATTCTTTCAATTTTCGTTCAGTTGTTTTGCAAATGTGCAAGGTAAACAAACATAGTCTATTACCTCCTACTAGTTAACAAAACAAAACGGCAAATAAGAGACGGTCGTCTCCATGACAACGTATAAATAAGGGTCATAACGTCATCTAAAATAAACGAAGACGCTCTGTTAGAAGTGATGGTCCTTCAGGACGGTTTTCTCGAGTTAATTAAGGGATTGATTGGTGACGTGAGTTCAATTTTAAAAAAAAGGGGGGGATTTTCCATGCCTTTCGATTATGTGGGTTCGTTTGAGAAAGTAGTAAAATTAAATAAACGTACAATATTCAATGTCAAAGTTGATAAGTAATTAACCGTTAAGTTATCAATCTGCACCCGGCAGAGAACAATGAACCTTACCGCGACCGCCATTTGAGATCCACCGCTTGGGTGCTCGCGTTCCAAATTAGCGATATTGCGGATTCTGTCAAAGGTCACAGAATCCCTCAACCCTATCACGTTATAAATGTACACTTTAATGTCAATCACTCACTTTTCCTAGGTTTCGATTTCATTTTTTTTACAAAAAATTATCAAATGTAGATCATACACATGCCCGACATCACCAGTAATGAGAGAAAAGAGACTATTTAATTGGATAGAATAATACAGTTCTGTATTTAGTTGTCGAAATACGACCAATCAGGTGATATCTTGTGTGGATGCATTAGAAATGTTGATTTTCGAACAACCAATGGCGAATTAGAACACTTATTAGAACCAAACAATTTTAAAGGATACTTTTAAGAAACCCCACGATTTTAATCTAACGGACGCCAAATAAGACAAATATCGAACAATTAAACGACTAGGCAATACGATGTTTAAAAAAACTCACCATGGACACCGCTGATCTGGTGTGAGTGAATCGACTTCTGACAAGCAACTAACTATTTTACTACTTCCGCACTTTTATTACTTTAACAACCTTCACAATTTTAAACATCACACTAAAATATTACTTAAATTGCTTTTAACTAATTCTCCAAAACTTTCGTTTATATCAAGAATTTCCTTAATTAAAATCGATGCTTACAGAAGGTACATAAAACGAGGACTCCATTTTAACTACTACGCTTTTACAGGACGAGGGTTACGACATCTATGGCGCGAAATTTAAAAATTTATTACCTTACATCCTCCCGTAAAGATTTCCTATTATTATGAAATGGAATAGGCGTAATGGTACGGAAAATATTGACCCAATAATATTATCCTCGCTAATATATTGTCTACGATCTCGTATGGTCTATGTCGCGAAGACTATTTTGCTTTCATTAAAATAATACCCCAAACCGTCAATTTATTTGAAAAGTGTAGGTAGGTATCTGTACTGTCCCTTGCAATCATTTGAGAAATAATAACACAAATAAAATTAGGCTTGTGCTTATACTCATGGTGCTGCTATTTTTAGATCCCCTGCCCTTCTGGATTTATGATTGAAACATGAAAATTACACTTATTCACTATGGGTTTTTAGCAATCGAAAATGCTATAATTAAATGCTCTTAAATAAGACACACACCTGATTGATAAGACCTCTACTTCTAGTATCTTTAACAGTGGTTCATCTTTAATTGGTGTCCGAATACTCTCAAATTCGAAATCATTACTGAAATTAGTTAAATCTAGTTCGTATTTGAATTTTGGTCATAGAAGGCACACTAGAATCTAATGTAGGTACACACTAATTGCCGAAATAGGAAAGCTTTGAACAGTCATAATAATAAATTACTTTATTAGATATTTTTCGTAGATCCTGTCTAAATGGCACAGTTCAGACAGGGTCACCAGGGATAACATCCATATCTGCTCTTTCACTCAACCCTTAATTTATTGAACATTAGTGTATTTAATCAGACAGACTATGATATATTGCAAAAATGGAATTAAACAAAACAAGACATTGATACAACTAGGATGTGGTTTACAAAGTAAGCTCTTAATTGTTTTTAACAGGGAAAGGTCTTATGTATTTATTATGTTTTTTTTTTGGAAGAGTGGACGAATGATACATGTTTTTTGTGGAGGTATGAAAGATACAAATTGAGTTTACACTAACTAGCATAAAATATGCCCAATTATTTTAAAAACATTCGCTTGATTATAAATGCTTTGGTCTTGGTACCACCGTATTTGTTTAGGTAGATGACACTTAATGATTAGATGAAGCACATTTGTTATAAAAGTTTACACAAATTCATTCAGCATTAAAAACGATCTTAACAGGTTGTTTCAGACATCAATTACTTATATTTATTAACAATAAAGTTAAGAAATCATCTATTTTAATCCGCACTGTAAAGGAATCACAAATGTAAACGCGCTAAGCTACATACGCACATACCATACAAATTGTACTAAATATTTGGAACTAAAATGACTCATTTTTGATTTTTAAATAGTGAAATGTTTACCTAAAATTGTTAATTATTTAAATCCATAAATGTATATATTTAAAAATAGGTATTAAATTGGCAACTACTGAAATCCAAGTATTTAAAATTATTCAAATTCATAAAAATAAAACTTTTAAATAGGTACCTAATTGGATTTTAGGTTGAATAGTTGCCCATTTAATATTTTTACATCGTTTTCTATAGTATTTGGCAGACCTCTTGTTACATATATTCGGAAAGCAGTTGAATAATGCAATGGCATACCACTGGTTAGGAAACTCTTAGCAGAGCACCAAGACTAATAAACAAAACGTTACGCAAATCGCCTCCTAATGTACAGAAACACTAATCCTTTCTTTGCGTTACCCATTTAAACAAAAATTAATTTTAAGTCCTATATTAAGTAGAATATTGCTTAGATTTCTTTAGAGCAGGTTGATCAAGTTCCATTTCTTCGTCTTCACCTCTCTGATTATCAACAGAATATTCTTCGTTTGTTAAACTTTCAAACAGCAAAATTGTTTTACCTAACCGTCTTCCCACTAAAATAGTAAACACATGCAATAACATAATACGAATAAAGGAAACTATCAGTACCTCCATGAATATAAACATTCCGCCCATTATTTAGGACCGCATCCTTAGCTTGTCCGTCAGTTAAACCAAACAATAAACCCCTAAAACCAGATAACAAAAACTTGATTTATGAACAAAATACATACAAATTGGTAACGTCATAAGGGCTTCTTAACAAAAGACTGTTAGTAATCCCACTTGAGATAATGATATTTCTCGATTTTCCAAAAGAGTGGTACATATGAGCGGTGGCTAGTATATTTTTTCTTTTAGTACTATCTTCTATAGCGGGTCCATACATAAGTTCGAAGTACGCTCCTCTTTCAATCAGCAAGTAATATAACTTACGCTGCAGTCTGTAATTCGGTTTTGTCGAGGGGTTGAATGAAAAAATATCAGCTTCAAAACTAGTACATGTAAACTAAAATTAAATTACACACATGCTTTAAAATATGCTTGCACGAACCTGAAATGCTTGTTGACTTTCAGGTTGAGCGGCAATGATGTCATACTTTTTAAAGTTGGGTGATTTAATCTACAATGTTTTTCATAGGTAATTAAGGTTCCAAATAAAACGTAATCTTACAATGCGATTAATAATATCCGGATTTGTGAAGGCGATTGTTAATCTGTTCAGTATTTTCAATGTCTCATAGCCCTGTAAGCGAGAATATTATCTAATAACCTTCGTACATACTGTGCAACACCTTTATTGCCTTTGGATAAATTGGTGGTGGAACAATGTCCCCTTTATCAATTTTCTTTTTCTTTTTACCTTCGGTAATTGACTCTTCTAGTGCAGATTCGTCAATGGTTTGATTAATCGCGATTGTGCAATAACCAACTAAAAAATTAAAGTACACTTGCTATCGAAATTGTTACAATTATTACATTCACATAATCGTTTTGCTGTTCTTTCAAAATCGCTGCTGATGCATTGATTTGGAATATTATAATCAAAGTATCCCTTTACAGAATCCATTTTAACAATCCCTGGAAGGTGCTTTAAGGTAGTTTACATTAAATTTCTTTGAATGAAAGGTACAATTTAAATATTTTGAGGTTATGGTGATGAAATAAATTAGCTGTGTCAACAAGACCGGACTGTTAGTTTAGTGGTGATTTGTGGTGGTGTCTCTCCTCTCTCCCCGTCACATTTGAAACTAAAATTAAAAATTAACCTTAAACTCTTTAAATTCTGATGGAATCATGCTAAAATCACTTATATCAAGAAATTTAAGGTTCATGCAAAGTAGAAATTTTTGTAGCAAGCGTTCAAAATCTAATCTCGATTGTGACACACAACATTTAGGAAATATTGCTTCAAAGTATCAAAGATTTCGTGATGAAGACTCGGAAGTAATATTGGATGTTCTGGAGGAACGACAGAAGTATGCCAGACAATTGGAAGAAATTGAAAGTCCCGATCCATTTCAAGGGTTAAATTTAGAGCGTAAGGTACGTAGTATTAAATTGTAAGTGAACACTCGAATCTTGCAGGTGGTAGGACTGGTGTATTTGAGATAGTAGATTTGGTTGAAGCATTGAAACGTGAAAATGCGGATAATATATTTGTAGCTACTGTTCCTGACGAATATAACTATGTGGATTATATCTGCGTTGTGAATGGAAGATCACTCAAGCACATGATGGCGATTGCGCAGTTTATAAGAAGAGTATTTAAGCAAAAGCGAACCAACGATGATATTGTACCAAAATTGGAAGGTGCCGATTCTAAGGATTGGTTAGCTCTAGACTTAGGTATGTGCTATAAAATGTCTAATTTTGGGATCTTATAAGTAGGTATCTAATACAGGCAATATTGCATTACACATATTTTCAAAAGAAGCTCGTGAAAAGTATGATTTGGAATCTTTGTGGTCGGTCGGCACAGAATATGATCCACAAACGCATACGAATGATCCATACACAGAAATTCTGGAAAGTCACAGCATTTTCCTAAAAGACTTACAGCCCGTCGACATGAAGACTTAGTATGCAGTAGATGTTTAATGTAAATAAATATTTTAGACAAGCTACAAAGTTTGTGTTATCTTGGGTGTTAATCATTATTTATAATAGGAATAACTAGAGCTAAAGATAAGATAAATATTATCAAAACCACTTTTTAAATTAGTGTATGTACCTACTGTACCCAATAACATAATTAGCAGTTAATATAATGATTCAAGAAAACTCAAATCAGAAAGACACTGTAATTACTCGAACTTTTTTAGGGTACGAATTAAATGTAGAACAGAACGTAATTGTGAATTATTTAATTCCGTCAATATTGAGTTGTCTACTGTACATTGTGCATTTTGCTTGTGACTTTGCAGTATCATATAGACATTTTCGTGAACGTAACCCAATATGGGGTAGCATTACTGTGTTTATTATGTATTTACCGGCCATTTCGTGTTATGTTTTAACTATTTCGTCTTTAGAACTGTGGCCTAAATTTGAAGGTTGCGGAATGGAAAATGTTAAATGGTGTTTGTTAAAAACATTACAACATATTTTCTTTCCAATTTGGAGTATGTGGAGGTAAGTGTATTGACCTAATCCTTGGATGCTATTATGTACACTTCTAACCAAACAACGTTGATGATTTTTGAAATGAGAAAAAGTAGATTTGCACGTGACACATGCCCAACATCGTCGTCGATCAGAGTTTGTTTGCCATACGTAATTGAGCTATTCTTTAAGAACATTACCATCAATAATAATAGAACATTGTATTATCGCATAAAGGCAGACAACCCAATGTTATATTTAGTATGTGGAAATCTGTAAAAGTCGTTATTGCAGATACCTATATGGTTATAAATGTCTGTTTTTATTTTATGTGTTCGAATACATATCTCGAAATTAGTTTGCACGTTTCAAAAATATATAAATTATGGTTAATGACAAGATGTTGAACTGTTTGAAAAGATTCATGCATGTAGATATGTATTTTTGGAACATTCGCAACCGTCCTAATAATGAGTTTTTTGGTCGTGAGAGTAATAGTAGATGTACCCCACAAACATATTCTGTATCGAAGGATGTAGCCCACCAGAGTATGGTAAATGTTTATATTAATTGCGCAAACTTTATAATATTTGTTAGGTTTCTAGTGGCCGTTTGCACCAACAAATTTAAGTGGAGCTTAGCTTAAGCGTAGCTTAAAATCCATGGCAACCATTGTCTCAATAATCGTTGCCATGGTTTTTAAGCTACGCTTAACACAAGCTCCACTTAAATTTGTCGATGCAAATGGGCATAAACAAATTATGAGTTTGTGTCGTGAGGAACGATGAGATTTCGTGAGCTTTTCCTGTAGCAGCACCAAGGGCTGGAACCAATTATACTACAACTACCACCACGCACACGCACACAATATATAGGTACCTATAGTAGGTACGATCTGTCCTTCAACAATAGCTATAAGAGAAACAATAGATATGAGTATAATAATACTTGATGTTGACGTTGGTACACTGGTATGACTTCACAAAAGTGAATAAATAAAAATAATAATAATACGGCCGGTTAGGTGTACCTACTGGTTTCAGCTAACGAATGTATTCTCGAAATGACCTCCACCAACTTCCAAACAATAATGCTGAAACCCAGGTCTATACAATCCTTAAATTTTAGTTTATTTTGTTTACTTTTGCAGATTTGCCGAAAAAATATTTTGGTCAGTAGAGGGGATAAGGACGAAGGACGATGAACAACGCGAGGATTTAATAAACGCTAAAATAGTAACGCCCCGCACAATTGAACTCTATTACTTCCTGCAGGGTTACCTACAGGCAGCACCGCAAATTTTGTTTCAAATGCATACATTAATGAGGTATGCAAATTTGTTCGACATAGACACAGGTATGAATATTTTCTACTTTCAGTTTCAATGGTCAATCGAATCTGTTTTAGTGGTCGCACAAGTGCTGTGTGTCGTGTGCTCGCTGGCCCAAATGGCGAAAACTACAACCTTATTCCAACGATTTAAATCCCAAAATCTAGGAGGAAGGTGTTACCCATGGTATAAACCGTACAAAGCTCTTTACACAATGTATGACGGTCCCCGTTTACGGTCTAAGCCTGGCATAGTGTATAGATGTCGCTTTACGTGCCCTAGACGTAATGCGTATTTGGACTTCCCCCATCAATCACCTGCAACAGACAGCAGAAGGAGTAGTGACTGTTACGAGCAACCAATTGCAGCAAAAGACCAGATTGAATTTGGTCGTGAGACCTCAGTTATTGACGGCCCACGAAGATTAGTACTAAGAGATGTAAACGAAACGGATTTTGTTCAACCCAGACGGATAGTAGACATAAAGGCATTACCTGAAGATGATATCGGCGGAAAGACCATATCATTTATTTGGTGGATGTGTTTTCTAATTGCAAGAATGTTATCTATATCAACATTTTCATACTTTTATCCAACGGAAATTTTTTGGCTACTCTCGGGTCATTTCATTATAGTAATCGCCTTACTTCTGTACGACGTTAGGCATGACGAAGTACGTCGAGCCAAAGCGATCTTCTTTATATTTATTGGATTTGTATACCTATTTTGTTTGATCGAGTTTAAGTTGAAATTTAAAAAGCCAAAATTTATTTATAACGGATTTTTTCTACTAACGTTTTTAGAGAATCTCGTGATGGTTCTTATTTGGTGGTTTCGTGACATTGATGAAATTCTTCAAGATTATTGGTACAAATTCATATTTTATATAATTATTGTTTGCTCCTTGTTTAGCATGTTATCAATGTTTTTATACCTTAACGTTCTGAAACCTAAAAAAGTTGTTATAAATAGGATACCCAATTCAGACGTGATCAAATAGTGTGATAAAGCTAAAACAACCCCAAATGCATTAAGTGTATTTATTTATTCACCATTATAACTGAAAAATAAATACTAAGTAAGTTACAATCTGACAGCTGGTTGCAATCCTCTTGATTGAAATAACAATCTCATTGTTTATACATTCTGTTTTGTTAGTATCTTCCTAAATTTAGTTTTACGGTTTTAAACTACCTACTTTTTTCATGTTTGCAGAAGGACAGAATACATATATGCAGTTTCCAATTATACAATTAACAGTATTAATTCAAAAAATGTCGAAATAAAATTTAAATTGTAGGTATACCTATAGTTTACAGTTTTATTATTTTCTGATTTATACCTACCTAAGTACATACCTACCTGGATTTTCTATGTCAATGTTGTATATACAAAAAAAATTATTTTCGACAATACAGCGGTGAGCGAACCCTCGCTGTTTATATTGATATTTTCAAAATTCAGTTCAAAAATTGTTATTTCTATTTAACAATATAGCCATACCACAATAAAATTATGTATTTATATAGAAAATAAGTGCTGAAACAGTTGCCCTCAAGTGAGTAGGTAAAGTGTAAGTTAAGTAGGTAGAGACAGATTACTAAATGACAGATTTGCATAATAAATTGAGTAATAAAATTTCGGATGGATTAAATCACTCACTGTCACATTGCTATAAAAAAGCACAAGCGTTGTAGATCTCCTCAAAAGAAATTAGTTAATCAATTAATGTCTAATGAATAAAAGAAAAATGAATCGTAAAATATCTACACATCTACAAAGCGGTATTAAATTAAGCCGGGTTGATAATAGGTTACAACGTGCCCACGACAACGTTGTATTTAAATTGAATATTGTGCGTACCTGATCTTTTTGCCTTTAGGATGACATTAAAAAAGCGTTATGAATGGAAACATGATTTGGTTGAGATATTTTGATTTCAATCTACTTATATATAAGAGGATTTATTTGTTTCCGTAGGCGTGTTATTTACGACACAATAACGAAATAACGTTGCTTTTAGAGAATCATTATGTCGCCTTTAGTGTTTTGGCCTTTCTCTTCGTAATTATTTAAGTATCAACCTTTTCTTGATTGACCAAATACAAAGACCAAATTCTAACACTCTTTTTTTTTATTTTTCTTATTTCTTGTCATTTACTTGAAGGATAAATAAGAAATTATAAGTAACTACTTCTCATACAGAGGATTTTTAACTTGGATGCATGAAAGAGCTATTACTTTTCCCTCCACCGGTCTATGCTATAAGTACTATTTTAATACCCAATAAGCACGTACCTAGGTAGGTATACTTACTATACTTTTTAATGTAACATCTAATTTTTAGTTTTGAATGAAATCAACTTAATAAACATGCGAATTTAGTTGAGTCACTAGTAGGTGGGGGACACCCAACTCACAACTGCGCACGCGCGTTTTACGTTCTTTCGGGCCCAACAAAATGTGTACCACATTTGGTTCCAATCGCTTCTGGCGCTTAGCCGGAAATGAGAGTCTGTCACACATGAAGAAAGTTGCCATTGCGCATGCGCAAAATCAAAATTTTAAGACCGGTTTTGCTTGTATTCCAAGTGCCTATGTATTAAATTGCATTTAAATGCTTTCATAAATAAAAAAGTTGGCATTGCGTATGCGCAAACCCAAAAAATATGGGTATGCACGGAATCCTTGAACCAAGCCCTTTCAAATGAGACCTATATCACCAAAATCGGTTCAGTAGTTTAGAAGGAGTACGTGTGGCGGACAGACGGACCGACGTCAAAGTGCAGCCAATAGCGATTTTTCACTTTGAGGAAAATACGCTAAAAAGTACTAGCAGGTAATACCTACTGCTAAATAACATAATAAAATTTTAGTTGAATAGAGCCCAACGCTACTTAAAATGTAGAACTGGGGAGTAATAGGTACTAAACCGGCGTATCGTCCTGTAAAGTCATATTGTTGTCAAAATCGTTCAGGATCACTTTAAGAAGTCGATTTGGTAACATTGCGAACTTTTTTCTATATTTTTACAATGAACACGCGTTGTATTAATTATGTGATAGCGGTAGTACGTCGCCGTTGCTCTGAAATCGACAACCTTTTGACCCATTGCATGTTGCCTCTTAATCTTACCGTACCACTATATAGATAATAGTTTAGTTTTATTTTCTTGATTTTTCTTAGTCGTTGGCATTACCATATGTAATAAATTGAGATACAATCAACGATATTGACGTAACAGAATGGCCATAATAATAGGGATAGTAGCTTTAAATGCCTAAATGGAAACAGATAATGAAGTAATATACACAAGGGGTTGTATTGAGAAGCGGGGCAAAGGCTGTGATGGTATTGATAATTATATTCATAACTCACTGTCCATTCAAGTCAAAGATAAAGGTTTATTCAAATAGCTATAATTATTGATCGTTGTTTAAAAGAAATTTAAAAGGTATTGTGTGAACTTATAGGTTATAACATGTGGAAGTGTAAAGGAAAAGAGACGCACAGCTCCTACACTTAAGACAATTTGCGGGAGAACTGCGTTGTTTGCTGTTGTACCTGTACCTATTCTTTTAATTTTTGTAGTATGCTTCTTTTTTTTAATATTCACACGCCTTTTGTATTGCTGTTAATATTTAGATATACGGCAGAAGTCTAGGCAGAAGTTATGTGTTTATGAATTGTGATATGTTTTTGTCTCTTCAACACGAAACAGTGTTTGCTAAACTCCTTCGAGATGTTTAAAATTAAGCACAACCGTCATTTATTTACCAATTTCGTCGGTGAAACCACACAACACATTACCTCGCTCGACGCACAAAAACTTTTCTTCCTTGATCATCTCTTTGTTAAGCATCAGTGTGCTTAGACCTCGGTTCATTTTGTTATAATAGGTAATCACTAATCAAAAACGTCAAGCTTAACGTGCAGGTTATCTGCCAAAAAACGTTATTTTGCGTTATTTAGTATCTATGGGCAAAATAACATTTTCTACAGGTAACCTGCACGTTAAGTTTAACGTTAGTAATACCTACATTACAGGACTACCTATACAGGGTGGTGACTTGCGTAACGCATCATAGGGATTTCAATGTAAAATTCATAACGTGCGATTATTGGCTCCCATATTATTTTAGAGCAAAAATGTATTAACGTTTTTTGTAGAAAAACATTTTTTACGTCAATCAACCCATTGAATAAAATAGTGTTTTTATTCAATGATCAACCGTATTAGTTTTCAATTTTTTGCATAATAAAGACGGAGAATTGGAAAAATAAAACCCGCATCTTTTTCAATAATCTGCGATGCCATGGAATTTTCTAAAACAAAAAGATATCAAGTTATATCAATTAACAGCAGTTCGAAATAGATTTTATGATCGACTTGGTTACTGTCTTGCAGTTAATGGTATCTTATTCGAACATTTATTGTAAATTGTTATATTAGAAAACCGTTTTTAGTAATTTGGTCTTTCATTATGTTGAATTCGCTGTTCTAAATATAATACTTTTTGATAGAATTTGATTTGTTTTATAGCAGACATTCCATGGCATGACGGATATTGGCGTAGTTTATGTATTATAAAATTCCATGGCATCACAGATTATTGAAAAAGATGCGGGTTTTATTTTTACAATTTTCCGTGTTTAATATGCAAAAAATTGAAAACTAATACGGTTGATTGACGTAAAAAATTTTTTTCTACAAAAAACGTTAATACATTTTTGCTCTAAAATAATATGGGGAGCCAATAATCGCATGTTATGAATTTTACATTGAAATCCCTACGATGCGTTACGCAAGTCACCACCCTGTAGGTATATATTTTTATGTATGTATTTCGGTTGGTCGTGGTGGAAGGTGTGCAATGTGCATGGTGATTTATGTCTGCTTATTATCTACAACGTTATTAAATGAATGGACATTCCATTCCAACAAAAATACCCACGCCAACTTTGAAGCTCACGTTGTTTACGCACATGCCCATTGTATTGTTTTTGTGTCATTTCAATTTCCAAACAACTATAAATCGTATTTTACTGTAATATGTGTTAAGAATCACAGCAGCCGTCAATAACAAATATTTCCATACCGAGAGTGTAGTAAAATTTTATTACTTATATCGACCTTTTTACTATTTTCATTTTATTCTATGACCACTAGGTACTTACTCAGTCACGATATTTTGTCATATTCTTGTAATAAAACAATGGAGATTTTCTTTGAACACTCACATGTAGTGTAGAATTCACATTCAGAGAGAGATTGACGCAGGGTGGCTACAAATTGTGCTATAGATTGATGTTCTTTTTGGGCTATGCTGAGAAAATAATGTTGGCTCACTACAAGTTTCCTTTGCGGCGCCATCTCCCTAAATTTCTTCGTTAGGTCTTCATATCCAATCTCTTTTACAGGGGGTTGAAAAATTAGCATGTAAAATCCTATAGCCAAATTTAGGCGTTTTTAACAGTTAACGTTTGCAACCCAAATCATAATTACCATTTTTTTAAATACGAGGGCTGTTGATTATTCAATTGATTTCATTTTATAAGAGGTTTCGCTTTAGTGGACTGTGTTGCAGATTTGATTACAAACAAATAGAGCGTTCAAAACTTTTTTTTAATAGATGCTTATTAAGCACAAAAAATAATGACTACTTACTTTGTAGTCTATTCCGATAATATTCAGTTTTCCAAATATTAGGCATTTAATATTTTTTATTTAAAATTAAACGAATGGGACAAATATCTAAGAGAGTCCATATTTTTAAAAAAGTCGTTACGACTTATCATTGAAGAGCATACTGAATAATTAGCGTGTACATATGACATATTATGGGAAAAGTAATAAAAATGTTATCTATTAAGAGAATGATTACAGAAATTAGTTTATAATAAACTATACTTCACGACGAATTGGAAATTAAAACACTCGCTTTCCACAAACTTTTAATAATCCAGTAGTGGGGGCGTAACTTTTCAGGGTTGCTTTAGCCGGCTTCAGCTTTTGAAACAGAAACAGTATGTTCCGTGCTTGCTCTGCAAAAGCTCGGTGTACGGATAGAATACGCCGCGTTTGCCGCTTTTCTGATCGTAAATGCGTGCGCCATGACCGCTCAATTAAAAAATTCGAGTGATTACTGGATTTTCAAATTGTGTTTTAGTGCGTCCTGTTAAGAATATGGGGAAAAAAAGGCGCGCATCTAAACGACGTGCTGTTGCCATCGATAAAGATCACTCCCAACTGACAAATATGGAACAAGATGATGTTTTTGAGGAAGATTTGGAAAACAAAATTGGTACGTCAGTTCTAGGAATAAAAAATAACCGCTTTGTCTCATATCTCGAGCATATTTAAATAAATAATTACTTATTTACCAATTGAACGACATTAACTAATTACAACATAAAATACGTTCGAGAATACATTTGCCTTACTAGTTAACTACGTAAGTGATTAGCTGAGAGACAAATAGGATTACTTTTTGAAAAATTATTTGATTTAGACGAAAAAGGTTCACCCACTTTCCTTTCTTAAATTTCATGTAAGAAAGTGTAATTTTGTTTACGGTCTAGGTATATGGCAAACCCGATCATACAGGGTGTAAGTAACAAGTATGAGCGATAGCAAGTGATTTTTTCACATAAATCAAAATTTTTTTTAAATTTTTCTCGAGCACCAACAGACATAGGTACAAGGTCCGTCCAGAATTACCCCAGTTACTAGAGGAAGCATTGCCGATATTTATTGAAAACCTGAAAATTGTGCGTGCATTTATAGATTAATTTAATTATTTATTTAAACAATAGTTCTCTTATTTTACGCTTCAAGACTGGGCCTAAAATCGTGCACTGCCTGGGCGTAGGTCGCGATTCATCTTTTCAAGGAATTATGCAAAGAAAATATGCACAATTAAAGAGTTATCCTGCTTTAAAGAAAACAAGAAAATTCCTATTACTTCAAGATATGCTAGAAAACCGAAATTTGCCGATTTTGTTTTTATTTTTTTCTGAATAGATACAAAAAAAACACTTTCTCATTGCCTCTTTTTGAGTTGTACAAGACACCGTTGAGAGTATTTCAATAAAACGTTTCGTTTCGAAGAAATCATCATCAATTTTATTGGCCCGTAAAAAGCACGTAGGTACATTGAGTAGCATTTTTTATTGCGAATACAACGATGTACTGAACACAAAAAAAACAAAAGTTGGAAACTGTTGTCGATTACGTGCATCGGAACTTACTATAAAATTGCATATATAATTGTGTATTGTGTTAAGGGCAGTATAGCAAGAACTAAACCGTTTTTAAATCAATGACACCATTTTTTATTGCAATTTTATCAATAGATAAATAAAAATGTTCTTTAAATAAATTAAAATGTGTACTATTCCCAATATCTTTTAATTTTTTTATGAGGTCAAAGTTATGCTAATAACTTAATATAATTATGTACCTGCATTGTTCGGGACGTTTTTTTAAATTATCCGCCTAGCTATGATGATGTCTAACAAAGAAATTCCTTAACTGTAAAATAACTGCTAGTGTAGAAGGGCGTTTTCAAAAATTCAACCGGTTTAGGTAACTGATGGGTTGTAGATTTTGCTATGCTAACAATGATTGCCATAACTCAAATTGTTTCCATGGTATTTTCTACCAACCAAAGTTAAACCGACTGAATTTTGGAAAACTCCTTGGTAAGTCCTACTTAGACATAATTCTGTATGGCTCCACAACATTGAGCAGTTCTGGAAATATTTCTGGGTCAAACTTACAATGGTAAAATCAAAATTTAAAAATATTCGCTCGCTTAAAAGATACGGGGGAAAACAAAAAATTGTTATTTTCAGAATGGTACTATATTTTTAAAAGTTACAGTAAAAAAAAGTGTTTACCACAAAAGTTTCTTTATAATGACAGTTATTCAATGATAGAACTAACAATTACGAAGATACTGTCTAAAATGGGACACTTGGTACCTCGCTCGGTACGTACCACAGCGTGCAAGTCGTAACGAATCACAAGACATTTCGGCAAAGAAATGAGGAATAATGGCAATTAGCATCAGGTGCGCTCATCTAATAAATTATAAACTTAAAGTGTAGAACAAAGCAACACAAGTATTGAAATAAGAAATGAAATTGTTTTCAAATGACGTTAAATAAAATATCAACGTCGCTGAACAGACATTTTCTCATTTCAAATGAAAGGAAATCAAATAAAAGAAACAGAAAAACCACATTTCTCTTTAAACTCGGTCGACAAATCGTGATTGCGTTTTATTAATCATATTCACAAATCTTAATGTTTAAAAACAATATTTTAAATAGGGATTATCAACTTAAATTTAAATACATATATCTCCACGAATTGCAAGCGTACAAATGTACCTAATTGCAATCGAAAAGCATGGCTGTTTTTGCACAATAGTTCATTATTTCAATCCCCAATATTAAATTTCAGCTTTCGTTTGTAATGTTCAACGCTACTTTGATACTTCTATCCGTGGTAAAAGTGTTGCACATCCTTAGCGTAAGGGCCAGCAATTTTAAGAGCCTGCAGCTTTCGAACTTCCACAAGTTTGGCTACTCCAAAGAGTAAGGGGTGTTGAGGTTGACTCCCTTATACAGGGTTACCCGACATTCGCCGCAGCATACGAAAATGCCGTTAGCTGCGTGCAAATATGAATTACAATACGGCGTACACTTATATAGTAATGCAAGTTTCGACGCAGCATCGGCCGACACGTTAGAAATTCCATGGAAAAGGAAAGTGATCATGCAGGATGAGCACGAGGAAACATAACGAAAGAAAAAAATACATCCTTCGGTTACATTAAAAAAGAAACAGCCTTCGATAACACAAAAAAAAGAACAGAGCAGTCTAAGAAAAGAAATTGCGTCGCATCACTGCCGTTATAGTACCTAAGTGTTCAAATAAGTCCCCGCCAGTAGCAATCGTGTAATGGAATCGGTTTTCAAATTCTGCAGTCACCTCGGCAGTCACAGACATGAGTTGGGTATGAGTGACACCCGCAGAACATTCACGGATGGCATCTTCCAAAGCAGCAGTATTCGGAAACGGTCCACGTGCATAAGTGGAATCCAGGTGACCCCAGTAGAAGAAATCGAGAGGGTTCATGCATGTTGAGCGTCAAAATTGTGACAGGAATTATCCAATGACTAATGACAAGCAGTGACGAATCCTAATACCATCGCTAACTCGTTGACCAATGCTGCGTCGAAACCTGCATTACTATATAAGTGTACGCCGTATTGTAATTCATATTTGCACCCAGCTAACGGCGTTTTCGTATGCTGCGGCGAATGTCGGGTAACCCTGTATATCCGGAAACAGTTTCTTGTTGAGAAGTAATAAGTATACATGATAATTAAACCACATAGTCGTCAAGATCTCCAATTTGCTCGCCTCTTCTCGCAGCAGCCTTACTAAAGGAAACGCCAAATACCTAATCTTTGATCGTCTCCAATTCCACGCAACTTTAGATTTCTTGACTTTGTGCAAGAAATTGAGATAATATTGTTGACTGAAATAAATTTGCCTGCACAGAATTATGTCCATGATGACTTGAGAAAAGATTGGGAGGATAGAAACATTTGTAGCAACGAAAGAATGCCATTATGTTATGAAGTATAAAGATACCCTGTACATTCAGCTACTGAAGTATACTATTGAAATGAAATGGTAAGAGCTTAATACCTATATCTTGGACTTATTAGGAAAAAATGTGCCTTGCCAATTTTTTAGATAGCAGATCCTACTAATTACCTATGCAATATTTGTAATCTGATTGTAATGCTATTTGTTAGGTGAGTAGTTATCAAAATATTATATGTTTACAATGTAACTAAAATTAATTAGAAAACAGATTAGGAGGTTGTAAGTCCAAGAGCATGCACTGATTTGGGTTGGTTGCACTCTTAATAAACGTAACAGTAAAGAATTTCGGATTAATTTTTTCTGTTAAGGGGTTTTGTAATTTTACTTATTCAATATTTTGTTTTATTTTTATCAATTAGCGTTTAGAGAACACAGCGTCTTTGCCAAAATTCTGGAACTATGCACAACAGATATTACATATTACAATAATGTAGGTAATTCGTGACTGCGGATTGCTCCCTAGATCCTATGATAAAGCAAAACTCCCTAATTTAAGTCGAGATTTATCTAAATCTCTAGATTATGCGAGAAGCAATTGTCTTGAAAATGGCCATATTAAGACGCCAATGGGGTAGATTCCCAACCCAAAACCTATATAGGGGTTTCTTGCAAGATGAATTTGAACATTTTCCTGGGCTGGGTGCGATGGACAGGTAACAAATTCAAAAACGTCAAATAGGTTAAAACACCAAACCTTGATCAAATAAAACAATAGAATCTGAAGTTCGTAGGCTACACCCGGAAACCTGTATTGCGATTAAATGGGAATAAAGTGCACATCCTCTTTTCACTACTTTCTCATAACATACGAATGGAATATTATAATCGTTTATTGTTTAGTAGCAGTTATCGTTATGTTTTAAATTATAACCTCTTATAACTTCAATATCATTATAAAATGCTGACACCATCAGTGCAAGTGTCATGGAATCTATAAGGACTTACCAGCTCGTCCACACGAAATTGATAGGGACGCACGAAATAATTTGCTAACTGTTTTTGCAGAGTTTATTGACTAATTCCAAAGTTTGTAAGATTATACGTAATTAAGGAATTCGTATAGATATTAATTAACAAGATAATCAATGCTGACTGATTATTATAAAGTTCTTTTAATTAATGCGACAATTCTGAAGGAAATTGTCAACTTTCCTAAATGAGGTACCTAAAAAAAATGTGGCAATTACATAAGCTAATTAAAATTAACTGAAACTTGAACTCGTGTTAGGGCTTACCTGGGATTGCTATAATATACTAGTGGAATAAATGGAATGAGTTCAAACTACCTTGGGCAGCTACATACCTACTCGTACTTGAAATGAAACATTCTTTACGGACACTAATGAAGCAGAAAGTACAACAAATTTTAATGCGAATACGGGTCGATTATTACTCGTTATTAGGTAGGTAAGTACGTGATAAATTTCAAGCAGAGATGTCCCGGGAATCAATCTGTACGTATTACTAATTTGAAATTTGTTTCGCAAACAGAATCGCATCGTTTCCATAGGTTTACAAATGTTAAAGACCTGAAAAATTCCTCGAATGCGTCAATTTTTATTTAAAATGAGGCATTATTGTACCGTAATTGCCATTTCAGAATCGTCTTTTATTTTG